CGGAAAAAAATTATAATTGTATTTGTTATTTTTATTTTTATTGAATAATGTCGAATTCTGAAACAAAAACTAGTGAAACGAATGTTGAATAATCTTTAGTAAATTATAAGAAAGTTACTTCCGATCACTTCCGTTAAGTGTGAAACACCTATTTATGTATATCCAAAAGCCTAATTTGATAAGAGAGCAAACCATATCATACTGTTAATAACGGTAATAATGGCTTATATTTTGGCGTAAAAACTGACGAAACTAGTACATATTGGTATATCTATCTATCTTTATAGGTAGACAAGTTGTAAGACTCCTCTCATTAAGTGTTAATCAATTTGAGTTGCAGTTAACTCCGAGCCGCTGTTTACAGCATTTTACTACTTTGAAAATTATAATTGCTAGATGTGCTATGGATTTCCTTTCAATGGACTGAGACTTTCTCATGCTAAATGCTGGCATTCGAAAGAACATTATCAAATATGTATATGGTATCCAAGCAAAATATTAGATTCTTTACTTTAACCAGAGACAATATAACGTCATATTAACCACATTTTAGTAATTATCGGTAGGCAAGCAAAGTTTGGGTCTTTTTAATAACACCGTTAATTACATTTCGAGAGGTTTTAAAAGATAAAAGGCTGTACGTTGGTCGAGGCGAACTTTATTAATGGACATCAAAGAGAGGTCGGGAGGCAGGACGGAGGAATCTAATTTTTCTATCGACTTTTGTTGAGCCACTCCTGGCCACTGGTAATCAAGTTACTCGTAAAATTGGCGCGTTCGTTTATACACAAGACTTTTGCAAATACTTATATAACTAGTTAGGTATTAGACTTATTAATAGTAGAATGCTGAAGGGTTTTTTCATTTGTAACTCGAGAACTTCGGGTTAAGTATTCCACTAACAAACTTTTTCAATCCAGTCATTAGGTATTAATTATATAAATTGGTAAAGACCAATACCAGTTCATACATAATACAAGCGCAGGAAAAGTACAAAGAAACAGTTGGCAACGACGCCGTCGGCTCTGCAGATCATGTCGATACTAAAATCGCTATTACAATAATTATAATAAATGAAAGTTGGGTCTTGGGTTATTATACTTTATAGATAAAATCATGGCAATAGGGGAAAAGCGGAACTTTCTCAATAACGGATAGTTTCCTTGTGATGTGCGTGTGTGTGCGTTCAGGATCAGTGGCCGGCGCGCGCGCACCTGCCGCACGTTTCCCACGCCTCCCCCTCCCGCGACCACCTACCCCCTGTGACGTCACATCCACACAACCAACGGTCTTCAACAACTTGCTTTTATTACCCTTATGAAATTATAGAGAGGGTGTGGAATCTCTAGGTGAAAACCTAATTGACGAAAAAAAAATGAATGTTGCTATTTGCTAAGAAGCAGCCAGTTATTTGTGTTGTAGGATTTGTTTAATACAAAAGTAACATTTTAATATTCGCTTTATTTAATTGTTAATTTGTCTGTAGTAGTTTACAATTAGTCGGTATAAGACGCCACTTCATGATTTTATGTATTCAAAATGTATTAAAAAGAAATCTTACTACTTAGATTATCGAATTATATAAAAAATATTAGTTACGGTTTACGCCATCTATGTTCATGAAGTAAAACTTAATCTCAGCTCCACCTAGCGGGCTATCACCGAACTTACTGATTTCTATACACTTAACGTCTGGACCGATTATTAAAAAACATAACTAGATGGCGCTGATCACCCGAAAACGGTGTTCGGGAATAGTTTAAAAAGCTGAATTATGATTTCTGGTTAATGTTATAAAATTTTAACTATGAAACACAATATGTAAGTCTGTTTTAGATTTACAGACAGACGGACAGACTTATTGCATTTGTTTTGATATGATTAACTAATGCTTGGCATAACCAATAAACCAACACATAATGTTTGTTTTTTCATTAATTCCTTTGTCAAAGAATATTGAATTATTTACAGTCATTGGAATTGTTCAGTTATAATATTCTCTATGAGCCCATGATTTTTACTCGCTTAGTATGCATGCAATACAGTGGCCAGAAGCGAGAGGTGACGACGAACCCATTTGGATGCGTATACGATTGTGATGGACGCGCTGAGCATTACAAACACTCAAGCGCACGACAGAATTATAGTCAAATTAATAAAACTGTTTATAAAAAGTTTTCTACCTGCCTATGACTGAAATATGCAATATATCAGGGCCGACGAATGAAGCAATAGTCGCGTCTTCAATTCACGCCAACTTTACATAGTTTTTACAATAATCGTGTCAAATGTAGAAGTGGGAAGAGTTTATTTGATCTCTCTGATCGGTTTCATGTGAATTTATGAACATAAAATATAATACAAGATACCTAATTTGATTTACTTTAGAGAACCTAATTTAGATTTCATATTTTATTTTTGTGCATGATTATATTATACAAAGATAAGATTAAATAACATCGTAGGTTGAAATAAAAGCGAAAGAAGATTTGTAAATAGTTTCGATCGGGATTAATGTCTGCGCCTACGCGGGTTTGTTTATCTAGTACCTATGTGCGGTGTGTGGTTGGAGCAATTATTGTTGCGGTCAAGTTGTGGACGTAATGAACGTTTAGATTTAAGCTTTGAAGTCGAATTAGTGTATCATTTATTCTCCGAACAATTAGATACAATATTATGTGATAGCATAGTTGACATTGTCCAACATAATTTCGTTAGAAAGTATACTTCTGTACACAACTGTTTCCTTATCATGAAACGGGTAAATAGATTTTATTATTATGAAAAGAGCGTTGGCGAGTGAGTGGTCAGTGTCGGCTGTCGACAAAATCGGGCATCGATAGCAACATGTCCATCAACCAGTCCGCCCGCGGTACCAGGCGACCATAACTCGGCGAGAGCTTTCGTGGTTCATTCACGAGCTTCTCGATCGGGTGAATGAAGTGTGGCTGTGTGCGTTAAACACGTGTGCATTGGTAGGCCGTTCGTGAGAATTCTCTTGTGTCAACATCTGAACTTGTTCAGGAATAACTCGCTTTGTTTTTGCAAAATATACGCAGCCTCGACTCCTGACTCTCAATTGATACGGCGCGGACATCTTTAAAACATTCAAATGCTTTTTATCTAAACCTGATTTCATTTATATGGCAAACGGAACAATCTTAACTTAAACTTTTGGCTTTTTTTGGCTTTCATTTAGGTAGACCCAATGGACAAAGATTACTCTATTAAAGTAGGTATTTTTTAAATGACATTATGATAGTCTTCAATTACAGTTTATAACGTCCTCAAAGAAAGTATAAGAAGAGGATGTCAGATAAATGTGGCTGCCGTGGCTTCATAATGTTCCTGCCAAACCAGATGATACTCGAGACTTTCCGCTTGATGAAGCATAAAAAAACGAAACACGCCACCGTCATTGGGTTACTTGCCACGATGGGAACGTACTTTTTAAAACTGATTAATAAGAAAAATGCTCCTAAAGTCACCTAGTTTTATTAAACACAAGACCGGAATGTTTATTTGGGTAAAGAAAACAATCAACAATGCAAATACAGCGAATTCCGTAACTTAGTAATGGCGAGTGTAAATATCGTAATAGTCGGCACGTAGTTTTGGCAACATCCTGCGTATACTTCAACAGCGAGGGGAAGTGGACACCGCAACATCCTTTACGGTGTCGGGTGAAGCCTCATACCGGTAAAAAACCGGCGATTTTATATTGAGTTTTTCATATTTTACGGCGGCCCATTTGTTTTGGGCTTGTGAAGTTTTCGCGCATTCCAAAGAAAGATTTCTAATATGCTGATGAAAACACTAGAGCTTATTAAAAGGTCTGCGAATTCTCTTTCCAGATGTCTTATGGATAAAAATAACATTAGCTCCATAGTTTCGCGACAGCGTCACGCGGAAAGGGACGTTATCTCAAGGTGGTAAACGACAAGATTGTGCGCGTAATAGATATATTGATATAGTTAATTAATCAACATGAGTCACAGCCGAGTGTCTGACATATTATAGTACACATTACTGCATTGTTCTCCTTAGTTAGGAGCCTCGATATCTAAATACGAATAGTTTTATAGAACATTTAAGACTAAAATGTGCCATATGTGATCGATATTTACTTGCTATTACAAAAAGGCAAGCCTTGGTAGATTTGCGAAAGCGAGTAAGTGAAGATCACGTGCGTAAAAAAACGGCTGTGATGTTTCAAGTCAATGTCTTACGCTAAGACTTGGTGTTAAAGTAGCAAACACACATCAGTTCCCAGTTCCCACGTACACACATGTAAAACAAAGACAAGATCAACAATAGGCCCGTATTCTTGGGCCACCCCGAACGCACTCTGAGTTGAATCACCCGCGATATTGCTAACCCTGCATGAACACGCTTTCACGATCTGTTTCAGCCTTATTCCTAAACTATTATTCATCGAATAATTTCAATGATGATGATGTGGAAGGTAGCTGGTATTGCAATGTCAAGTGTATGACATGTAAACTGGGTTATGAAAACGGCATCCTCCTAACAAGGATGCGGCGTATTATTCTATTCGGGGTTCATCTATTCGCTAATCGTACACACGTTGAGACTAATAGACATACCTACTATTAATATGTTATACTTATTTACTATAGATGCCTTTATACGTTAAGTCCGAATGGAATTTGGTCCACAGAGCAACAATAAATGTACAAAACGGATAAATGCACTAAATAACAATAGTTTCCATTTGTATTGCTTGGCTTTTACTAAGAATATATAAATTGTTTGTATATTTATATAAAACATTGGCGAGAGTTTTACATTATTAAAAAGCTATATCACTTAACATTCCGAAAACTATTTATTAGATTACCAAACCCTTTCTATGAGACCAGTTCGCTGCAAATCCGAATCATTTGACGTCTTCATTGAAGTTGAAAATGTTCGTTCTCTAAAGTAGCAAACTAAATTAACGAAGATCAGAAAGACAAAAGAATCTTTCAGGATTTGAGTTATCGGTGAGCAGGAGATCCGTTAGCCGGATAGGGCAGATTGTGTCGCCGTTTATTGCGTCTTACGGGCGATTGAGGCTGACACCAACCTTGCCACGCGTTCACGCAAATTAGAGTAACACCTGAATACCTCGGCACACCGAATCTATTTCGTTTTAATGGCGTTATTGTAATATGAAACGTAGCCGATAACTTATCTTAAGATTAAATATAACAAAAATGTAATGTTTAATTCTAGATTTTTCTCCAGAATCTTATCGCCATCAAAAACTTACCCAATGACGTCTCAGGGTCGGTGAGGTCCGACAGAGAAGGCACTTTCCGCATCGTGCGAGGCTCCTCCGCTTCGGGCGGTTCGGTCTTGATGGCATCGCCGTTGCCGCCGCCTTCATCACACTGAAATATTTAAACGACTCATAAGATTATTTATAATTAGTACAAAGCAAATTCGCAGATACCTTCCCGGCTTTTGCCGCAATTTGAAAAAAGCTAATTCGTGACAGTTTCCAATTCGACAGGATTCTTTGTAGGTAGTACGTTAGTGGATGGGGCCAAAGAGGTTCTGTTCATTATTCCATTCAGGGAGTGCTTCTTCCGCTCGCAAGATTTAAAATCGCAAACACAATGGAAAGCCTCAGTCCTTCAAATGGACTTTGATGTCAATAAAATGTATGTAAATAGATGCTTAGCATGTGTTAGACAGGTGAATCGGCCACTATTTAGAGTCAAAACGTATTTTAAGGGAATATAATAATTCGAAATGTTATGTTTTAATTTATTTTTTTATTATTTATTACTTAAGATGTCATGTGGAAAATGGTGTGCAGCTCCTTATAAACGTTGTGTAAAACAAAAAATTGAAAAGAGTGGCGGAGAGTTTATTGCCAGTTCTTCTCTTCCGTTCTACGCCCTTGATTTGAGAACTGGCACTAAATGTAAAATTAGAAGCATTTCACATATATATTTTGACATTCATAAGTGTATATGAATAAATGATTTTGACTTTTGACTCTTATTAGATCTTTTATTAAGTTACAAATGAGTGAATAGGATTACTATGAAGAGTGTTCGTGTGCCTAAAAGCGCCTCGTTTCAACTACAATGTGCCTGTACGATTTTTAAGGCGTTCTAAGGTAGCATCAACGATGGCCGAGCGACGATTAACCCACAAACACCGGGGTTATTTACGGTTGAGGGAGAGGGGTCGCTCGCCCTCCGCACGTGATTTTACGAACTCACCTTCGTGATTGATAAACCATTTATATTTATCGCCCCCAGCACTGTGTCTGATTTATTGATGGATGTTCAATACTAATTGCCATTTGCCGAGAGAAAAACGTGGAAATCTATCGGTAAAGCGCTAAGAAAATAATGATAAGCCTTTTCACTGTGATTCGTGTCTGATTATATTTACGCAATTATTTATCATTGCAAGTTTTTAGGGACTTAGTTTATAGGGACGGCTTAAATAAATTTACGAAAAATATACAATGTTTTAATGAAAACGACATAGCTAATTGTAATAAAATAAATAAACTGTTTATCGATCACACCACTCTGATTAAGAGATACGAGTAAGTTTAAAAACATTTGTATTGACAAAAAAAAATTCTGAGAAATAACAGCGTTACACAAAATTAAAAATGTGTTAGTTAAATACCAATTTTCAAATGGTTTTAGTACTAATAATGACGGCAGATTCATAAGAAGTTTCTTAGCAGTAATTTAATATTATAAATGGAAGGACACCTTGCAGATAATAATCATCGCTATCGTTAACTTATCAGTAGCCCTCTTTTCCGAGAGCTTTGAATATCAGAATTACCTACGCTTGTAGTTTTGCCTAATTTTTCCCTAACGACCATGATATTTACAAAACAACGCTATTATTCAACGCATTTTCCACGTTTGTTTTGCTCAATTCCAAATGAAACTTCGCCTTCGCGATGGTACGTGAGTTGTAACAAGTCTAACTTTTCTACATAATATTATACGTTGTGCAGTGAAATGTATTCAATTAATACAAAATACATAGCAATATTTTTATATCTGAGAGTAATTAATGCGCATCCATCGTAGCTCGCAAAGCGTATAACTAGATGAATCCCTTTAATTAGACACCGGATATCGCATGGCTCGCTCTAATGAGCTATGCGTCAATAAATATTACTCCACGACTAAGATCAGCCAAATTTATTTATCAATAATTATTGCCGTAGATCACAATTTACTTAGCTAAGAAATTTTTATACAATCTTGTGAGTTGTGACTTAAGATCATTCGTAAATATCCGAAAGGTATTAGGTCGCAGTGAGCTAATGTCGAAACTCATTAGTGCAGCTTAGCGTCAGTGTCACGGACAAGTTTAAAAATAAAACAAAACAAATAAAAAGCGGGCGCTTTGAAATAGAAACTCTTTTTTCGATATACTAATTCTGGTTGATTGATGGTGGGGAGTGAACCGCGTGAGATACAAATAATGGGGATTAATCGTCTGCAACTTACAATACAATCGTTATTTACGAGGAGGCTCACACATATTAATTATTATTATACATATAAGACAAAGTAGACGGTTTGATTTAGTTTGGCTTGTAGGATTAAAGGTTGATTCGGCTAAAATGAAAGTGGTGTGAAGAGGTTGAACACGCTTCGGTGGCCTGTGATCACGCTGTTCGGTAGTTTCCGGTGGTAGTGGCCTAACACGCCCGTTACGTGACCGGAGACACTAAATAAGTTTCCCAAAACATAAATATCATTAAAGTAGTAGTGACACCTCACTTAAAACTTCGTCATATTATTAATCCTTTGATATTTTCATAATAATGCATTTATAATCGTAAAGCTCTTTATCGAGCCGTATATTTTTGCCAAAAACTGCCAAGTTTTGATAAACAATATATGCTCATCTAATCAACCGTAACCTGCTGACAATCGGCACTGTGCAACCCTTGGCTTCGTGGCCCTTGGTTCGCCATTACCAACACAATCTTACAGTTGCTAAAATAAGTAAAATGCAACCGTAACCTATGATTTGCTCTATTTAAAGAATAGATAATTGCAATCGGCTCAAAGCAAGTAGCAATTGGTATTCCTTACTCGACAAGCAGAACTCATTCTACTTAAGTGGTATGTTAGCAATTACATGTCTTGCGAGTTATTCTAGTATCGACGAACCAGTCCCATTTAGACGGGTTTTTGTCAGGTTCTCTCTTGCTTTCTTGAATTGCCATACACGCGTGTACTACGCGAGTTAAAAACCTCCTTTGTCCCTTCAGCTTTTTTCGGTTTAATATTAATGATCGCCTTCAGTTTTTTCTTCATCTTCAGAAGATTGCAAATTTAAACGATAATTCGTCAATTTGTCTTTTTAAATAGTACAATTACAGATAGCACTCGGCTACTGCATTCATGAAATTTCTAAACGTGTTATACAAGTCGGTTTGCGAGGATGTAGCTTTTCCTCACTATCGGATATCCCGTCGTCGGTCAGTCAAGATCAAGGTTTTATTTCAACAATCACGAACCGGTTAGATAACTCATACCGGTTATTTTTATAAGGCTTGTCCACAATCTAGGGGGAACGGAACAGAAGCGGGCACCGGGATCGGACTAAGAAATATCTGTGAATATAGAAAATAGTTCACTCAATTAGTTAGTAGTAGTAAGCGTACCAGGTCAAGCCGCAGACTGAACGAGACGTGCTTGCGAGGCGGCGGCGCGGCCATCGCCGGTCCCTCGTAGAAAGCGGCTTCCTCCAGACCGTAGTCCTCGCCCTCCGTCCATTCCAGCTTCATCGTGCTGGGACTGCGAACAGAAATTACATAAAATGTAACGAAGAAATTACGGGTGAATTTAAATAGAAATTTATCTTAATATTTTATTATTAAATTAAATTAATTTTATAATTGATTATAATATGATAAAATATAGAGTTATAAGAGCGACTATTGTCATCTTTTAATAAATGCTGATTTCCTTCGATTTCTACTAAATAGGTTGCTTACAGCCCTTCTGTATTAAAAACTGATATTCCCTTAATTTATTCGTTTTGGAGATAAGCTTAAATAGTGACAAAAATTTCAATAACTTCCTTGTGTGCTTTATTGACGACAATATTTTTGGATAACGCAATTTCAATGGATTTTTAAAAATTCACCGTACATGTGTGTGTGTACACTAACACAAAGATACAACGTAAGTACCCGTGTTGTTATGTTGCCTACATAGCAATGTACGTCGGTTTAATTTTATGGTCAGCGATCACGGCAGAAATACTAATAGGGCTTCGCTGACCACAGCACTGGTCACATGCGTCGATAAGTCGCTATTCTTTTCCCCTTTCTTCGATACGACAAAGGCTAGAAGCAGGCCAATTGTTTTTTAGTTGGAACGTTGTAACAAACAAATAGCACATTTGATATTAGAGAAGGTAGAGTCACTCGTCGCACCCATTAATATCCCATCAAAGCGATTCAAATTAGTTAACACCGATGCAACGGGTCGTTCCGCCGGAAATGGTTACCAAAAGCACGTGCATCTCATTCTCCCTACAAAATAGAGCGACGAATCCTTTGAAAATTTGAGTGGCCGTTTCGGGCAATAACCGAGTGATACGGTAAATATGTCGTCGGCTGAATTCGGCGCTGCTGGTCGCTCTGGGCCATTTCCGCCGGAAACGATGCTTACATTGACAACGTGGCAATAATGTCTGTAATTGAAGCAGTGTGTAGTTTGTTCGCTCACTCGAAAGGGTGATCGGGGTGTAGTCGAGAGTGATAATTAGGTGCGAGCAATTCATTATTGTCACGCAGATTCACTGCAATAAAGTATTAAATCGAAGTCAAGTTTTCCTTTACTCATTGGCTTCTAAATAAATATTTGTTTTTATATCTATATAGAATATTACAGATACAAAAATTAAATTTCTTGTAAAAATATTCTATCACCCGAAGATATGATAACAGCATATCTAATCGCTTTAAGACGCTTAAAAGTTTGGATTTCATATTAAATATTTGCAACATTACACAATATATTGTTATTTCGTATGAATGGAAACTTTGTAGCTTCGGTGTTCTTTGCATTGGTACAGATAGTAATTTGTTAGCAAAGGAATCAGTTAATATAAAAATGTCGAAACTGCAAAGGATAGCCCAAATTCTCTGAATACAACTGACTGAATGCCTGTAGTCAACGGGTTCGAAGCCCGGGGGCGTTAACTTGCAGATGCCAAGTCGTTGACATACGGTCTCCGACCTACAAATTGGTGTTTCAGGCTTCAAGTAATTTGCGCGCACGCAAGTTTGCGTGCCGATTGGCCCTTCTGCGTCGCGTGGTGGGTAATCGATTTCTTCATGCATGAATTCATTAGTCAAATATTTTCGGCCAATATGGCACGAGATTTTATGGGCGTTTAACAGTCTCGACTTCAAGATCGCATTTCGTAAGTATTAGGCAAGTTTTGAAGCTCCCAATAGTGAGTCAGGTCGTTTGGATTCCTTCCAAAAAGGGCTTCTTGTAAACTTTTTCGTTTAATATAAGTATACCAAGTCATATTAATAGTTATTATTTATATACTGGTTATTACTAGAAATCAATATCAAAAAGGATACTATTAACAAAAGGATTCTTTTTGCTATAATATTTTTTTCTTCTAAATATGTCAACAAATGTGACACTTTTTGTATAGGTAAATTAAAAATAATGACTTGTAAAATATTTGTTAATCTGATAAACTCGTAAAGACGAGATGTCTAAAAGGTTTACGAAGCAAAGTATAAATTGGGCCCAACTTCAGAAGCTAGTGCCGCCAGATGAAAAGGGAAAATTCCTAGCATTTAAGGCAAAGGCAGATTCATATCTCCGACGGTACCGATATTCCTATTCATCATAAAAAGTATCATAAAATAATAGTATCGTTCCTTCGTTTCAGCGTTTGTTGACGACTGCTGGACATAGGCCTCTCACTTAAATTTCCAGTACGACCTATTCACCGCGCTTTGCATGCACCCTCACCAGCTCATCTGTCCACCTAGTGGGAGACCATCCACCGCTTTCACGACTGGTTCTCGGCCTCCATTCTAAGACTTATGTCCCATCGGCCATCCGACTTCGGGCAATGTGCCCCGCCCTTGTCAATTAAGCTTTTATGTCTTTTTTTCAATGTCGGTGACTTTAGTTCTTTTACGGATCTCTTCATTTCTAATTCGATAGTTTAGAGAAACACCGAACATAACCCTCGCCGTAGCTCGTTGACCGACGCGGAGCTTGTGTAGCAGGCTTGAAGTAAGAGACCATGTTTCAAAACCGTAAGACATCACTGGTTTCGCTTTCTTCTTTTGACTTTAAGAACTGAGGGAGCAAAATCGCTAAAAAGATACTCAGTCTGAACTTCTTCCGAAGCCGGATCTACCTACTTGTATTAAATGGTATACTTAGGTAAATGTATTCGTGAATTGAATTTCCTAATGTTACTGGAGAGGCGCGACATGGACGTTCGACATAATTTTTGTCTTGTCCATGATCATTTCAAAACCTACTTGTTTTGAGGCATTCGGATGAAATCTTTCCGAAACTATGCCATGATAACGATATCATCCGCGAATGGGAGGTGTGAAATGTACTCGCCATTGAATTTACCCATAGAATTTCTTTCCCTGTATTTAATTTTTAGGGTGAACGCGAATCCACCTGAGCTACCTAAAATAGACTGGAAAAAGTATCAGACCCTGGTGCCAGTAGCTGGAATGGTAGAGAAGTTTCAGAAAGAGTACGAGGCTTATAAGGTGCCTTATCCTGACGATAAAGTTTCGGCTACTATTGACGAGCAATGGAAATCGCTGGAACCGCAGATCAAGGCATATTGTGACGAAAGAGAACATGATATAAAAGAGTAAGAAAAATTATCCTGAAGCCAAATTAAATTGGTTGTAAATACGGCTTTACGATATGTAGTTATTGTGTTTCAGAGCAACTAAGGAATTGGATGCTATGAAGAAGTTGCCAAAGTTTGGAGAAATGACAATGGAATCACTGTACGACTTGTATCCAGAGCAAGCGCTAGATCCGGTGAAAAGGCCAACATTTTGGCCTCACGACGAAGAAAGCGAGCTCGGATATGTAAGAAAGCAAAAAGTGACGAAGTAGTGTGGCAATGTGTTGTAATATTATTACTTTTTAAATATTAACGCTGTATAGGTTTTATACAGTACGTACTATCAATAAATATATATTTATGTTTGTATATTAAATGTATTACGCAAAAGGGGGATGTTTTAAATTAAATGCTGGGTGACATACGAGTATGTTATTGTTCGGATCGTAACAAGACTTTTTAGTAATTCTTTAGAAGGCAGTTAAAGGTTTGTTGAAAAGTCTACAGGATATATTTATGTTTGTCTCACTCGAAATGTCTATTTTGTGTAGGTAACAACAACAACTAGATAATAATTCTTGGAATAACAGTAAATGCTTCGACATCACAAGAATCCGGAGCAATCGAGTCCGAGCGAGTGAATTATCGTCTATGGGTGCATAAAAGGGCTGCACTCGTCTATATTTAGTGTTCAGGGTCGCTGTCGAGACATCAGCCAAGAAGTCGCGCGTGGCAAATTGTGACTGATGATAGGATTGAGTTACTGGATTTAAAGTTCATCATTCACTAATTAGAGAAGTGGAAATACTGTTTTACAAAACAAACTCATATCTTCTTGAAATCACCGAGCCTCGTGACAAGATTGGTAAATCTAGAATGAAAAAACGTCTAGAATGTTCGAATGTTCATTACGAAATCTGATGAGTAACGTATTCCATGTAACTGCAACATTAATTCATAGTTTGTTGTTATTTTATGATAAATTCAAGCTAATTCTATCTCTTACATCTGAGAATGTAGGAAGTTAGAAGTGGAACGTACAGAACATTCAAGTCGCGAGCGTTTTATTGAATCCAAATGGTGTTTCGAGAGCGATAAATACTGTGTAAGCGAATAATCCTTTTGATCTCTCTCAGTATGTTGTCAAATGCATAAAATGATTTTAATAATATTAGTAATAATGTCCTTACCATCACTATCACAATGACAACGACATTGACCATTTGATAACAAAGACGGCATAGGCCTACTGCAACAATCCGCTTAAGTTTTAATTGTCAGTACATAGTAAGTATAATAGTTGGTTAGTCTGGTCGAAAGCGTGGGTGGAAGGGTAGGACCACCTGTTGCTGAGCTATATTTAGTCAACGCCCCCGCCCCCCTCGCACTCTCCCATTCATAACTATGAGTAACGTGTGGGTTAAAAAATTCGCTGACCCCACCAACGCTTGCGCAGGCCTTCAGTCGTTCGTGTTGCTCTATATTCTACATTAACGTGATTAATACTTTTGCTAATTTTATTCAGATGTTTCATGAAACTGCTAAAATATATTAAAAGCCCATTTAAGAACTTAAAAAGTAGAACGCGATCAACATCTTAACATTACCAACTCGTTCAGCCAGTAGTACCAACAATACTCTCGTGAGGTGAATGTTGACGAGCAATAAATGCTAATACAAGTTTACGTGTGTGTCTTTTGAAGCCCTCCGTGCCTGCTCAGTATTCTTTAAGGTGTTAATCGGCAGATTAAAAACCGTTGACCTTCGCCAAGGAGCTCCATCTGCATAACTATTTTCAGCCCGTTATTGTGAATGATACACCGTGTAAAGTCTTTCAGCACTTTTACAATTTGCTGGTACTTCATATCTATATCATATAGTTTGTTGTTCGTAGACCGATGCCTGAGTGAATTACACAGACGCCTTGTGCTCTGACCTATGTATCGTGAGTAGGTACATAATACAAGTATTCTGTATACCTACACAATAATATAGTTACGGTTGTGATATTGATACGTGTCGCTTTATTATCAAAATGTCGACGAACTCGTCTCAGGGCCGGCATAATATTATGCAAAATGCACATTATATTATTTTATTAGTTTATATTTTAGATATTACTACTACTTACGATAAGCAGGTTCAAGGTAATAAATTCTGATGAAAGTTACGGCAGAACTAAATTGATATACGATTTCAAGGATAAATTAAAAAAAACTTCCTGATAGTCTTATTAAAATTTTAATAAAGCTTACGTCAAACGGTTTGGATATTGACGACGCAAGTTTAGATCTGTTAGTTGTTACTAATTAATTCATAATTAAAAATTCTGTTGCGCCCGCGCATTGTCGACGTATCTACCAATTACCGAGACACATTATTCAAATCGAAATGAACACTATTTTTTAAGGCGTTGAGTTTATAATAACTTTATAAATGTGCCCTGAATGAAGGGCAAGCGACACTTGTTTTATTGTGAACTATATTTAGGACTTGGACTGAATTGTTACTGTGCCAGCGACGTTCGTGTCCCCGGGGCGCGGAGCAAGGAGCGGCGGCATTGGAGTGATTCCTTTCCTTGTACAAGGCGAACCTGAATAGTCAAAATGTCTATGGCATTATTTCATCGATAAAGAAATTTATTTAAATTTTTAAATACAATTCGAAATTGTGTGCGTGACGCATTATATTACAACTCATCCCATTGCTTCCTCGAAATAACTGCTGATCCTAATTTTTAAAAATCCATTTTCGCATCATGTCAGCAGGCGATGTTTCTACCTGCTTGGGTCCCGTTGCATGCAAGGTGTAGCCCTACACGCACACCACGGCATAACCTATTAAACCATACTCACACCACCGCAGGCTGCGTGTGCGCATCTGTTACCCTAGCCCCTCTCATCCCCCGTGCCACCCCCGCACTGATACAGCACCAACCTCAGCTGTGACTTGTAAACTCTTAAAGTGAAACCGCTTTTGGCGAAACAATTCTCGTGAATATTTTAGAGTTTTGCATGCTTTGAATTATTCAAATGTTAATTTTAACAATTTATTTCGAATAAAATCTATGGTCAATTTGATGTTTCCTTTTGTTAATATATTAATGAATATATTTTGAATGCATGATAAAACCGACACAATTAAAAAAAATATTAGTCTCCTTCACGAATAATTGATAAAACGAGCAAGTTTTAATTACGGTTAAGTTTTTTCGCTTGTATCGTTATCATTTAAAAAAATATTGACGAATCCTAGTGCTTGGTTATGACCTGTCTCGCTCACTCGCTTTCTTGGCTTCTTTTCTCAAACAAGGCACGCTCTCGAACACATCAATATATTTTTTTAATTTGTCGATCACGAAGGATAGTGTACATATTATCATAAAATTGTTATTTTTACAGACTCAAGGAGCAGTTTACAACATTTGTTGGGATGTGCTAAGCTTACTTTATTATTAAATGTATCCATCAATTGATACGTAACGGGGTTGAAGTTCGTCTACAATGGATTCCTTTACATGTGGGTGTCAGGGGTAACGAGTTTGTGGACTCTCTTGCATCCAAAGCTCTACAGAACGGCATACCTCTCGACATCGTACCGCACTACATTGATCATCTTCCGAAAATTAAAAATGACAATTTTATGAAATTTAAATCCTATTTTAATGAATGCTCTCAGGACAAAGGCATCTGGTACAGGACCATTGTGGACGAAACTCCACGCGAGCCTTGGTTTTACTCAAGGATTCTCAATAGAAATGATTTAGGTAGTTATTTGCTTCCGAACCCGTACTTACCATATGCCACTTAACAAGTTTAATTTTAGTATGAAAAAAAGAGACAATCGAAATTGTACACGATGTGAGAGGGAAGAGGACCTCTTACATTTAGTTGGTTGGATTTCCTAAAGGAAACTCGATGTTCTACTGGCGACTTTCTCTTCTTTCTTCATCAAATATTAAGTTCAGGGTTCACTGCCGAATTTAGTGATAGATTTATAAGTTATATTATAGACTCATTGAACCTTAGATCTGAATATTATGAAAATGCTCGTTAACTAGTAAACTGTTAAAGTAATACTTAAACCTTAATCAACGTTTTTATATTTTTAAGCCGCCTTAATCATTAAATGCCTGTAAAATAAATAACATTTTAAAAAAAAGGATAGTGTACATGACATTGTGTGAGATAAATAATTTAGTTTGAGTAAATGACAATCGACGACATTTTATAAAAATAAAAGTCCTACGTGTGATTTCAAATATAAGCAACAATAATTATAGATTAAATTGTTTATTGCCAAAGTGGGTCTCTGCAAAGCGTTTTCCTAGAAATTTATGTCGGCTATTTTATTGGACGAAAGTATCATATTTATGCTAAATACAGAAATTGAATTTGAATAGTACATAATTTACATAAGCGTGGCCTTCAGTTATATTCAGATAACGATGTGGATTTGTGATATCGTGATAAGTTACTGCGCAACGTTTGTCGCCTCCGCTCTCTGCTAACCACTTTCCAACGACCGCCGGTTAATAATAGCGAATGTCTCGTATTCCACATATTTTTTGAATATATCTCTTAGCACAGTGCATAAGAGGGGCAAAGAGGGTTGGATACCGAGAATCATCAGCAGCCATTACGGGAACAAGCTTACGTTGTGCGTCCGTTATTCATACTTGTTTCAATTACCTAATGGTATCTTTTTAGATAATCACGCTGAACGAACGATTCTTTTTAATTACAATTTTGTGTCTTCGAAGATGTAATTATTGTCATGTGAAAATAATCTTTTAATAAACACTAACGTCATATTTAAGGCGGTTACTTAATGCATTCAAGTCCAGTACGACTTGACCGATTTGAACCATCCTAAAACCATCTGTTTCCACCAGGTAAACACTAAAGGCAAAGTACTGTGTCTCGTATTATATTTATAAGAATTACAGTCCCGGGAGCCTGATTTGTCCGGAGGTCCACTACGTAATATAGTTCGTCTCCATGACAATCGAATAGTGGCTACGCGAACTTTGTGAGGACTCCTACCACAAATATTTGTAAAGAAGGATAAAAAGTGACCACTGATCTTTTAGTTTCATGGGCCTCAAATGTGAGTGACTCCACCCATCAACTCCTGTTCACCGACATGCCAGTAGTCAGAGGGCCCAAACAAGATAAAGACGCTAAAATATTGGGTATTAGAAGACCAAAATATCTCCATTAAAATAATTAAGGAAAGATAGACACGGCGATAAAATCACGAGGGAAGAAAGTAATTAAATTAAGAGTTAGGAAAAGCTTGACTCTACATGTACTAATAGGTACAATCTGTTCTAATTACCTTTTATTTCTTAGAAGTTCAGCTGACCGATAATTCAATACAGCCTTAGTTCGATCAAATTCAATTATCGTTATTTGACTACAATAATTACTTATCGCGTGAACTTTATACCTTCTTAAGTTCTTGGCTTGATAATTCATTACACCTATCTTATCTATCTTGAAAATAATATGAAAATTTAATTTACTTTACAAGAACTACTAAAACTACGGTACGTGGTCAGATCTGTCGACAAACCCTAATACTTACTAAATTCTTCGATTACATTTGTTCGTTCTGCAGAGGAGAATAAATAGGGGCAAGTCTTTTTGAACTAGAAAATGTAGAAAGTATGACTCTGTTTATTATCTGGGTTTTTGTTATCCACTGTTTCTGATCTACATATACAAATAAGATCGTTACTTTATCCATCGCTATCAACAGTGATAGAAACGTTTATCAGAGATAAGTCGGGAAAATAGGTAATAAGTCATAACATTCATTAACCCTTTGTATATATGATTAAGTACCTACTATAAAGTTAGGTCACAAAACACACCTGGCTGGAATCAGATTTTTCAAGTGCGTTTGTTAAATAATGGATCTCTGTTAACTTTTTAGTCAGAGCATTTGTACAACAGATCTATTACCATTTAATTTTATAGCATACAATCTGAGCAGAAGTTAGAGGCTTAGTGGCGGCCTATAGTCTAATATCGGTCGCAGGCTCTGGTGCAATAGAATATGCTCTATTTAGGTAATTCTATATTTTGGAAACGATAACCTTTATCGTTGCAATCGAAAATTTTCTTCAAACATAACATTTAAGATCGCGGTGAAGCTGAATACTTGGTAACGTACAATTTGTGTGATAAAAACAAGAATTCTTATCTTTTTGATGGGTGATACTTTGGTCTGACGTCATTGTGTATTCTACCTTTATACCCATGTGATGAATTCCAAAGCGAGCTCTTAATTCCTACTCGATCGGTGCAAACCGAATGTCACAAGCTCTCGACTGCAGCCATTGTTTAGCAGAACTTTATAAACTTCAATTTATAGGACAGCCCGGTATCGCTACCCATAAAGTTCCAACTTCAGAGGCATCGTTCCACGCATAATAATTAATAACCCGAATCCGATCGAGTCGAGGTCTGGTGTTATTAGCGAGAATATATTTGCTGCAAGACGAGTGTCGAGTCAGGTAGTCCGGGATAAAAACACTTGAAACGGAGCGGACGCGGCCGGTCTCACCTAGATAACGCGCTCGACCGATTAAACCATACAACCCGACGCCGAGATTACGCACCCGTTCGTGACGTTCCTCCGTCGACAGACCTCCGTTCCACCATAATAATAACCCTCTCGATCGCTTCCACTCCGATAATAGTATAAATGGGCCCTAGCGTCGGACGAATCGACACATAACATGTAAATTCGTCGCTCGAATCGCGACAGGCGGCGCGTAGGCGTCGACTTCGAATGAAAATAAACACACCCGACGACCCTTACCTCTCGATTTTGATTAGAGTATCCAGATTAGCAGACGATCACAACACCGAATCGAAGTTTCAAAGGCCGGTCACCGTGGACCTGCACGCGTATCACAGTAAATATCGCGGGACGACGGGCGCGAAACACCGGTGGAACGCGAGCCGGCGCGGTCGAAACTGACTACCGAGTGCTGAATAGCGACGCAGTAGGTGCGCCCGCGTCGCACGCACACACTCGCGCCCATTGAGAGATGCGGCGAGGAGGGGGCTTTATGAATGGACGTAGTGAGCTATGCCGTACAGATATCGCTGATAAGCGGTTTTGCATTGTAACAATATGATATTATAGAGTAGCCCGATCCTCGGAAACACGGCGAAATGTGATCGCCCGAGTTCCGACATCGCAGAAAAATTGTTTCTCGTTTAAATTATTATTTTAACGGTCTAAATATCAATGTTCGTCGAAATTTTTTCTAATAACGGAAAGGAAATGTATTCAATGAACAAATGTATTTATTAATGCTTTAATGACTGGAGATACACAGTGCAACAGAACGTTCATAATAAAAATGTAAAACTAAGAGAGTCCCTTGAGGAACGTCGCCAACTTGTGGCTCTTGTAGTCGGCTCGGAGTTGAATGAAGTTGAGCAGCACCGAACGATCCAGCTCCGCCTGTGGACGAACAGAAGCCGGCTTCGATCATTACGCTTAGAGGCAGACGGTCAAAGGAGATTTCGGGAAGGTATAATTACTTCACGGATAATTTATAGTTAACAGACTTCAAAGTTTCCGATCTACGTAAAGTGGGGTAACTAATTGATTAAAATTAAATTTCTATATTTTAATCTAAGGAAACCAAAGCGCGAATTGAACATGGTGACGAGCTGTATAATATATCATTAAAGGCTCCTAAAATATTATGCCCTTCTGCATTAAGTCAACTATTCAAAAACTCTTTAGGACGCAATTTTTTTTCAATCCTGCCTCGTGGCCATTTATAAAATAAGTAGGTTTAGTTCAACTCACAACTTTGACTTAAAGTCTACTTGTTAGACTTTCACGATCAGTTTGAATAATAGAAATCCATGTAATCTATAAAGCCTCACCAGGGTCTCTCCCTCGCACACCTGGTGCAGGTTCTCGGGCTTGACGAGCAGCAGGTTGCAGAGCGCGTGCAAGGCGTCGAAGAGAGCGGGCGCAGGGGCGGGGGCGCCGGTCCCTCCGCGCCCGCACACCGCCGATCTGTACTCCTTCACGTCGCAGATCGCGATCATCGCACCTGCGAGGGCAAGGGCAAGCGGTGCTCACAACTACCATCCGTCCATACGGGATGTGCACAAAACAAATAATGCTAGAATCAATCGATAGCGTTTTGAGGTAAACTACTAATAAAATAATATCGCGAGCAGGTTTATCCTTCAACTAGTGCTTTTCGGAAGGAGGCCTGCAAGCAGACCTAGTCCGCACACAATTCCTTTAGAGGAAGATAAAAATCAGTAGTAAATAATGTCTTTTGCGCGCGGCATTTTTATTATATACGAGGTAAAAGGTACGCTTCGCTGCTTCGAAACTCACGTAGCAGCGCCGCAAGGCATTATTCAGCCATGTAAAAATTGTGTCTATATCCTCATAGGGGATAAAAAATCCAGCAATACAGGAGGAACTTTAAACGCCCGCGCCGTAACATAAAGATTAAAAGCTCCATACAATAATTTGCGACAAAGGCATTCGGACAGATTCTGATCTTCGTACAACTTTTTTGTACTGACTTGCAACACATTGATGATATGCTTATCTGATTTTTTTCTATTTTTTTAATGCTATACTTAATATCTCTCGATGCTAAGACCGCCCAAAGTTTCTGATCAATTTTAATTTTATCCATGGCGTCGAAATTCCACCTCCTACTATACTTTGTCTTATATTTCTGTCAAAATAAGTGTTACTTTATTTTATCTCTGTCAGCATAAGTGTTTATGAATATTTACGACCAAGTCCAAAACTAAAATTTTGAGTTTACAAATTTATTTTCTCAAATTAAAGGCTAGAAAGAAAAGAGTATTGTACAGCAGTATTTCTCGATATACAGCAGGATCGCGTATGGCATAAGGGCCTCCTGTGTAAGCTAAAGATGAACCTACCAAATACTGCGTACCTTCTCCTGAAGTCCTATTTGCAAAACCGTATGTTCTGGGTCGAATGTGAGGATTATCTATCATCATTCTGTCAAATAGAAGTAGGAGTGCCCTAGGGCTCAGTGCTGGGTCCATTCTTTTGTACTCAGTTTGGACAATAAACTTCTCATCTACAAAACTGTAATAAAACCAATATGGTTCTATGGGATACAGCTCTGGGGGTCAGCAAGCCGCTCTAATATCGAAATCCTGCAGCGGCTACAAAACAAAACACTTCGAAATATGAGCGGTGCGCCGTGGTTAACACGAAATGCTGAACTCCATAAATATTTGGGAATTGCCACTGACGAGGAAGACATTAAAAGATCAACCGTGCGATACAAAATGAGACTTCAGCAACACGTCAACCCCCTAGCTTCGGGCCTCTTGGAAACGACGGACAGTGTGTATCGGCTGAAAAGGGCGAAACTTGGCGCAGTCGACCAGTTTAAGAATTACGGAGGGAATAAAAAATTTATTAGATTTGCATTCCCTAATTTCCATAATTTATGACGACCTTCTTTTTCATGCCAACTACTGATCGGACACCCCCTCCCACCTAAACCTCACCCATGTCGCAGGCCGTCGACATATTTTTTGGCAAACCAGACTTCCCAAACCCCGGAATCGTACTTGTCGTCATGTCTGAGGGACGTGTCGTGAGGAGTGCAGAGATGTTTGTGTAAGGTGAATTGGTAAAGATCCTCCAACAGCTTTTTCCTCCCGCATCAAGTTCTTCATCACTGGTTACAGAATGCGTATGTATAGGTCGGTTATCGAAAGCTGGCGACTTCAAAGTACTCACACTAATGCAATTTCACATACAGTATGTTTCAAAATATGATTTTTTTGCCAAGCTATATATTTTAGTCCACTCTGGTTTTAGTAAGGTTGGGTTGGGTTGGGTTGTAAATAAATAAAAATGTGTCAAATACATATAAATATTAGGTGCATACGAGGGTGGATCCAAAAGTTCTAAGCCAGACCAAGAACGTGAAAGAGTAGTTCGTGTAAATAATTTTTCATTTTTCGACATACGCTCCATCTAGCCATGACTTTGTTGGTCGACAAAACGACCTTAGCCGTTTTCGGAGTAGGTGATCCAGATATTTTCCATTGTTTGGACTGTTGCTTTGATTCAGGAGTATGGTGGTGAACCCAGCTTTCAACAAATCAAAAAAAAAAAATCAAATCAGCTTTCAGCTTTCAGCATCTGATGTCAAATGAAATATAACATTTTTTCATTAAACTGTTTTTATTAAGATGCTTAAAATAATTAAAAACATTGTGCACCATTTCACGAGATTGCCCTGGTAATGTTAGAAAAAAGATCAACATGTATAGTAAAGATCAACATAAACAGTAGCAAAAGCAAAACAATAACTGTCTCTTTTATACTCATAAGCTTGACCGAGCGCGAGAGAGACGGACAGTCTTTTCATGATTGTATTTGTGATTGTATTTCAGTTTCACATCACGCCTCGCGCTTATTCACAGATACTACACAAGCACAAAGTGTAAATGTGTTGAAGCCGCCAGCTTTAAAAAACATACCAATATGTAGCTTGTCTATTATTAAAATGATCAATCACTTTTTAAGTTTTTTACAATAACCTCACAATTAAACAATATTGAATGGAATCCTGATGACTGACTTCTGTCAACTTCAAACCAACAGCTTTTGCCAGCTAGCGCCATCTACTGTATAATAAAGAAATATACCAGTACTCTTACAAAAATACAAACATAAATATTTATGAGAAGAGAGAAAAAGTAGAAGAACATTACCTGCGGAGTTAAACTGGTAGTTGTGAAGGTGATCGTAGATGACGCGGTGAAGGCGCACGGCCAGCTCGGCTGCCACCGCGGCCCGGTTGGCCCCGTCCAGGGTCCGCGCCACGCGCTCCATGAGCCCCGCCACAAACGCCACCACGCCCAGGCACGCCTGCAAGCGGAGCCAGCGGATGAGTCTCCCCGGGCGAGATCGCTCACCGACGCCTTCGCACTCGTTTGAGGAAATCTCACCGGCGAGGCCAGCGTGTCCACGTCTCCCTCGGGCTTGAAGTCGCTCTTCCTCTGCTCGGTCTGCAGGTACATCCTCACCCACCCCACGGCCGCCGAGATGGCTCTCTCGAGGCCCGCGTCGAGCTTCATCTCCAGCTGCTCGACGACGGCCTTCTTGCGCTGGACGCAGTCGGCCCGTTTGCCCGCCGAACTGAAACCGACCCACGTCACGACAGCCCGCCGACAGACCGGCCCTCGCCCTCCCCCCTCCGCCCCGCCCACTCACCTCACACAAGGGAGCACGCACTCTTGGAAGCACTCCCCGAACATCTTCACTATTTGGTTTGTCTCGTGGACGATGTCGAAAAAATATATCTGAAAGAGTTCGTCTCTTCGTGATGCTGATCGCAATGTTTTGTGGTGACCCACTATAACCTTTGTGAGTATTTAACTTGAACACTCCATATCATATCAGAAGCTTAAATTCTGTGGATTATTCGGTCGAATTAGAAATGGAGAAGGTACCGACTTGGGGTGGGGTCTTTCCCTCCGCGATGGGGATGGAGTGCACTCCCAGGTCCAAGGCGTAGTCCACGTGCTCCACCAGCAGATGCTGGATCAGCACTTCCAGGAGAGACAGCGCGCAGTTGTCCAGCTCCGCGCCGGAACACAGCTAGCACAGAGCGAAAAGTTACAAGGTCGATCTACCGAGACGTCGGTATCTCGGTTCGACGGATCACTCACAGTCCGACACCTGAGGAAGGAGGTCCGGGCGGAGGCCAGCACGGTCTCGGCCAGCTTTCGGCAGAGAAAGGTTTCACCCCCGTAGTCCTCGATGTGGGCGATGGTGATGGGGGCGCGCCCTCCGAGCGCCGCTTGCAGGTCGCGCCGCAGCTCCTGGAAACTACGCCGGCGGCTCTCGTGAGCGGGGAGGGCGGGTCGGGGGTCGGGGGCCGGGGCGGAGTCTACACTCACCCTCCGCCTTGCGGCTGCCTCTTGACGTGCCGCTTGTCGGCGTAGTAGTCGTGAAGCGCGGCGGCCAGCGCGGCCTTGAGCCGGCGGAGCTCGAGGGCGCCGTAGCCGTCCGCGCCGGCCGCCATGGCCCCGTTCACCAGCGCCTCCCGCCGCAGCTCGCCCGTCGCCTCGTCGCCCTCGGCCGACACCAGCCTGGCCGCCACCAGCTCGTCGCACACTCGCTGCGTGCTGACATTTATAGCTTTGTGTTCAACGATTCATTTCGATCGAAAGATTTACTCAGATAGAACCTACTATTTGAGTAAATGGAAGCTAAAAAAGAAGTACCTGGTGTAGACGTCGTACAGGTTCCGTAAGTACTTTTCGAGGTCATTCTTGTCGGCGAGTTTCGTCTGGATATACTTCTGCAGCTTCAAATGGAAGATGTTCAATACGAACTTGCTCATCACTTGCTCGGGATTTGGGAAAACGTTGTTTATTATGGCGTTATTCTTTTTGCAAAGGGGCAACACTGAAGAAAATATATCTTTACCTGTCAGTGTGTTCTGAAATATGACAAAATAGTGTACAATATATTATGTGACAAGTTTATTATATATTACTTTGCAATGTAAGCAGGTCTACGACATACCATTTGGCTGGTCTCTATAAAGGCATCCACGCACTGAGAATAGCCCTTGAAGTTGGTCATGATGTTGGCTATTTCCTTCATTTTGGCCATGTTGCTCTGGTGTTGAGCTTTGACAAAGTCCTCGATAAGATTCCTTTCAATCTCATCGTATTTTGCTTCAATTTTCTTTCTGGCAACTTCAAATTTATCCGGTGGCAGTTCTTGGGCTATTGTATATAACTTTTGAATGACATCTGCGGCTTCATTTAACTAAAAGATTGTATATTCTATTGAATTATTCATTCTTTTTTTAGAAGCTTATTTGTGTCAATTTTCTTTGACTGCCTGAGGAAGCATAGTTTTGTCAAAACAATTATTATTATGATATAAAAATACATTTATTGTTGCAGCGGTGATTATGTGAAGATTTATTGATGCAGCAATAATAATTTGTTGGGAAGGGCTATTACCCGTATATCAGAAAGACTTCTATGTTTTTCATTAATATTATTTACCAGTATATCAGAAAGACTTCTATGTTTTTCATTAATATTATTTACCAGTATATCAGAAAGACTTCTATGTTTTTCATTAATATTATTTACCAGTATATCAGAAAGACTTCTATGTTTTTCATTAATATTATTTACCGGTATATCAGAAAGACTTCTATGTTTTTCATTAATATTATTTACCAGTATATCAGAAAGACTTCTATGTTTTTCATTAATATTATTTACCAGTATATCAGAAAGACTTCTATGTTTTTCATTAATATTATTTACCGGTATATCAGAAAGACTTCTATGTTTTTCATTAATATTATTTACCGGTATATCAGAAAGACTTCTATGTTTTTCATTAATATTATTTACCAGTATATCAGAAAGACTTCTATGTTTTTCATTAATATTATTTACCAGTATATCAGAAAGACTTCTATGTTTTTCATTAATATTATTTACCAGTATATCAGAAAGACTTCTATGTTTTTCATTAATATTATTTACCGGTATATCAGAAAGACTTCTATGTTTTTCATTAATATTATTTACCAGTATATCAGAAAGACTTCTATGTTTTTCATTAATATTATTTACCAGTATATCAGAAAGACTTCTATGTTTTTCATTAATATTATTTACCAGTATATCAGAAAGACTTCTATGTTTTTCATTAATATTATTTACCGGTATATCAGAAAGACTTCTATGTTTTTCATTAATATTATTTACCAGTATATCAGAAAGACTTCTATGTTTTCATTAATATTATTTACCAGTATATCAGAAAGACTTCTATGTTTTTCATTAATATTATTTACCAGTATATCAGAAAGACTTCTATGTTTTTCATTAATATTATTTACCAGTATATCAGAAAGACTTCTATGTTTTTCATTAATATTATTTACCAGTATATCAGAAAGACTTCTATGTTTTTCATTAATATTATTTACCAGTATATCAGAAAGACTTCTATGTTTTTCATTAATATTATTTACCAGTATATCAGAAAGACTTCTATGTTTTTCATTAATATTATTTACCAGTATATCAGAAAGACTTCTATGTTTTTCATTAATATTATTTACCAGTATATCAGAAAGACTTCTATGTTTTTCATTAATATTATGGTGCAACTAGGTTAAATAATGATGAGAAATATTTGAGATGATTAGAATTTACACTATTTACAAGTTTACATAAATAATTACAATTTTTAATAATTATAATACTATACAAATAAAAAAATTGTTTGACAGGTATGAATGATCTGATGCTTACCTTGTTAGAATCACTAAACAGATCACTGAGTACTGGTCCTGGGCTAAGAAAATTGGCCAAATGTGACAACAAGTCTCGGGCTGCAGCTGCTCGAGCCCTCGGTGCCCTGGCAGCACCCAACTTCTCACCGACATCTAAAGCTCTCCCTCCACACCTGGACATTCTTTCATCAAGGGCACTGAACACTGAGACACAATGCTGAAATTTTGTATTAATTGAAATATCAATTTTGCATTCCTTTAAAATCCTTCTGAATTATATGATAGTAATGAATAAATAAAATTAATTCTTACTGTATGTTGATCCATGATCTCGGCTAGTTTGGCCAAATACGTTTTTTCTTCCTCTTGAACACCCTGCTCTAATCTTGCACATTTCCTTTCTTGTCTTTCTTGGAGAACCTGAAAATTTACACCTTTATTTAATTATAAAAATTTTTGCTTCTCAAATAAACAAGCATTTTACATTTTGAAAATTAAAGAAAACAATTAAAATTTTAAACTGAGCAAGATAAATAATTAATCAATTAATAAATAATTAATCAAACGGTTTTCCTAGGCATCATGCTAGACGAGAAGTTACAATGGGGACCTCATATAACTTCTCTTGCGGGGCGGGTCGGCTCAGCCGCTTATGCAGTTAGACAGACATTTAACAAATGTAGAAACTGCGCGTTTGGTCTATTTTAGCTACTTTCACCGTATAATGTCGTACGGCTTTTTACTGTTGGGTCGGGCTGCTGACATGGAATCCACTTTTATTTTGCAAAAGAGAGCTGTCAGAGCCATTTATAACCTACGTCGTCGCGAGTCTCTAAGGGAACTATTTAAAAAGATTAATATTATGACAGTACCTTGCCAATTCCTTTATGAAAATATTATGTATGTAAGAAAGAATCTACATCTTTTTAATGAAATAAGTGATAGACATAATTTTAGTACTAGAAATAAAGATAAAATAGCTCAAACATCCAAATTAGTCAAAGTTAATACATCATTTATGGGGTATTGTGTTAAATGTTACAATAAAATACGATGTGACATATTAAAACTAAATGAACGAAAATTTAAATGTTTTATTAAAAGTACACTTTGTAGACAAGCATATTACAAATTAGAGGATTATATTCAAGATATGTTTGGAAACCTGCTGGTCCTGCTCCATAGGACAATTATAGAGCCTGGACAAAATCAAATTGGTTGCTGATCTAATTTTACATATTTCTGTTATTTTTTATTTTATAATACTGCAAACTGTAATTATTTTATTTATATCTCACACACTGTTTTATTGTTTTTTTTATTACTCTTTAATGTATAATATTCTACAGTTTCTATATTTGTAAATATGTGAGGAACATGTATACTAACAATACAATAATTGACCTACCCGCTGCATTGTTTAATTTGTAAGTAATACTTTGTGCCTATTTTAGTATAGTAGTTTTATTCTTGGAGTACATTGTCTTCACATATAATTATTTAAAAGAGTAAGTGTGGAGTTTCTTGCCTATTCTTCTCCACACGAAACTTACTTTTGGAAGGGGCAACTAGAATCATCTTTAAAAGTTATTTGACATTCAAAAGTGCCATATTAGGTGGTCTAATTGAAATAAATGATTTGACTTGAATTCAGATTATTTTTTTTATACTGTGTTACTACATAAATATATAATGTTTATTACCCTACAATGTTATTTATTTATTAGGGACCCCAACAGATTACATGTATATATTCTCTAATTAACAATATTGGGTTTTATTCTAGCATGCAATCTAATAATAGGTGTACACAACATTGACTCTAATAAATGATAGCGGACAGAGTTTACTTAAGTATTTGTATCTTTAAACATAAGTTATTAACATTATTAAAATGTTAAAAACATTGCAGGTCAATAATAATATAATTTTTGTTGTATGACGATGTAAAATGAGAAGTACTTACCTTCAAGTCTTGTATTGCTTGTGTGAAAATATCATGAATCATTACTGGATCAAATTGATCATCTTTAAGACGGCACTCTTGCATACTACGTCTAACCATTCTCTCCACAAATTCATCTGGATCAAATGGGTCCTACAGAACAAATACACAATATCAACAACATTTTCTAGGATTGTATAATAATAAACTACTACAACTAAATTATATTAAAAGTTTTAACTTACCGCTTCAAGTTCTTTCAAATATTGGTTCATCATGTTGAAAGTAGTTTTTTAGGACTTTAAATATATTTTAAACAGTTTGTTGTTTTACTTATTTTTTTAGCAAGTCAAATACTCTTAAAGGGAGCACATTTACATGTTATTGTTTTTACACTAAACTTTCCCCTTTTCCTAAACTTTTTAAAATAGCAAATGCCAAAGATAAAAGTGGGTGAAACCAAAATGACAATGATAAATGACATAACTACGATACAGCATATAGTAGTCTTTTTTTATGACATTAAACAGACCATCCAACACCCTTGTATGTAGACAAATCAGTTTTTGACACAGGCCTGACTCACCAACTGTAAACGAATACCTACCTATGTATCCAGGGGCCTTAGTCAAGATGCCTTAACAGTAGTGTATGTAGAAAGTCGAAAACTTAATTTGTATGGAAATGACAGTTCGTGTCGAAAAGTTTTCATACAAATTTAGTTTTTGACGTTCTACATACACTACTGTTAAGGCATCTTGACTAAGGCCCCAGGGAATTTCATTAGTACACACTTTGTCACGTGACCATTTTTATCTACATAAATTATCTGGCATCAAGCACTTAGGTCGGAAGAATAAGTTAGCAATTTTACATTGTCACTCTTTTGCAGCAGGGTTTGCTTTTTGTTTTTTATATAATAGGGGTCAAAGAAACCTACAGGGCAGTCATCGCAGCTAAATTTTTAGTGGGTGCGTTGCCAGCCTTTGAGCGAGGAGTACACTCTAACTTTGAATAGATGGAGGTTTTATTTGTCCGCAACGACAGCAACTTTGTCTTTTTCTGTTCTACGAAATATCTACGTTCGCGAATGGTATAAATACAGACTACCTAATACTATAATTTTTATTTATTTTATTTCTGTTTTTGAACCCTCTAATACAATACACAGAAAGATTTTAATTTTTTATTGGTACAGTTCAAACAAAAATAAAGAATGTTCTTTGTTATAGTTCCATTATCGTAGTAGTAGTAGTACAATGCTCTCTAGATGATAAATATAAGCGTACGTATTATTAGGTCCAAAACACGTAATGTGATTAATATGACCTATTACGAAATGTAATAAATTTCATTACCCCAAATTTAATATTTAGTTAATTAATTATACAATGTAAGAATAATGTTAAGAATTAATATTTTAAGTTAACTGACCTATTTTGCGAAGCCTTACTGAAAAATAATTTAATTTTAGAAAATAAAGAAAAAATGTACGTCAATGTAGCAAATACGTCTTTTTATAAGACTTCTTAAATAGTGAAAGCGTTTTTTTTTGTATCCAAATTCTTTGTGATGTCGTAAAATAATTTTATAAATTTTGTTGTGGTATAAACGTTTACAATTTTTTATTCTCTCTTACATGAGCAGTGAGCAAAAAATATATAACAATTATCATTGGAACAGTTTGACAGGAGTGCTGAACATTGTGCCTTTTGTATACGTGAGATGTCCAATGTATCCTAAAAGGGTTAGGATAAAGTCGTTAGAGCCCCATGGCTGAGCGTCTCAGCCCTCGAAGCTCCGAGGTCAACGCCTTGGAACAACGAGGCTACCTAATCGGCAAGAAGATAGGACAAGGATCGTATGCCACCGTTCACTTAGCGGAGTACTGTGATGCATCGAGCCCAAAACGTATGCACTTAGCGTGCAAGATATTTGACAAAGAAAAAGCGCCTAGAGATTTCTTGGAAAAGTTTTTCCCCCGAGAACTTGATATTTTAACTAAAATTGAAAATCCCCATATAATTCAAGTGCATAGTATCCTGCAAAGGGGACCGAGGGTGTTCATATTCATGAGATATGCTGACAATGGCGATTTACTAGATTTTATCAAACGTAATGGCGTCGTCCCAGAAAATCAAGCTAAACTCTGGTTCAGACAGATGGCGAGTGGCCTTCAATATCTTCACAGTAAGAACATTGCACATCGGGACCTGAAGTGTGAGAACATTTTACTGTCCAGGCGTTTTAATGTTAAGCTAGCCGATTTCGGCTTCGCAAGATTCTGCACGGACGGTGACAACAGGCGCGTCCTCAGCCAGACGTACTGCGGCTCCGCGGCGTATGCGGCTCCCGAAGTGGTCAGCGGCACACCTTACAATCCGAAGTTGGCCGATGTTTGGTCTCTCGGAATAATTTTATTTATCATGTTAAACGCTTCGATGCCGTTCGACGATTCCAACCTGCGTAAGTTGCTGAAAGACCAGATGTCGCGCAACTGGGTGTTTCGCTCCAGAATCAGAGACTCTGTATCCGCCGCAGCGAAGTCGATCGTGCGCCATATCTTGGAACCGGATATCACTTTACGTCTGACTTTGGACCGCGTCCTGTCGCACGAGTGGACTCGGCCGCGCAAAGACAAGAGCGCTAGTCTAATGGGGCGCCTCGTGCAGTCGGCTCCTTCGGCCCCGCATCCGGGAAAGCACGAGGAGGCCGGCACTTCGGCCGGACTCCGCGTCTCGGGCGACCATCGTGACACCGAGCGCGAGAGGCACGACGACATCAACTCTCGCACCCACGCCTGACCACATCACTCACAGACCACAGTGGCATTTAAAGTGAAATGTTTACACGATCTTACAGATTAGAGACAGTTTCGGCAGTACATGAATTTTAAATTTGCTTTTTACATTACTTTTATTTTTTTAAATATTTTTTACACTTGACGTCACAACGTTTTAGTCGTCAATAGTGAAAATAAAATTTCTAATAAAACGATAAGATTTATTTAACTAAAACATGTATGTTGTGGTTTTGAACGGTATTTATACATACACATTGAAAAGCGTCATATAAGTATTTAAAAATAGATACGAATTCTCCTGTCATCTTTTCGTATACAGTACTAGTTGTCAACATTTGCTACCAGAAATTGCTGTATCACATCTTTATAAGCATCATACTGATTCTTCCACGGGTATAGCGGAGAGTGCCCCTCGTCGTACAAAGATGAGAACCCGACGACGCCAAACGGAATGGGTACAAACGGAAACTGTACGTGGAAAACCAAAACAGACTCACGCTGGTCGAACTCGATTGATAGTTTCGATATCAGGCTTATATACTCTACGATGAGATGAGTTATTGTTTTGGAAAGCGGACTCTGGGACTGTAAATAAAAATGTAAGAAAACTCGACTGACTTTAGAAATGTAGGTAAATCGGTAGCAAGTTGACAACTTACGGTTAATTTAACCCGATGTAAAGCCATAAACGAAGGAATAACCTCCATGTGGATAACTGACAATACGCTAGAATTCGAAGACGTACCTAAAAATTAAAACCTAATAATTTTTTCCTGCATAAAAGTTTTTATGCCTCAGGAAAACACTAGTATATTGAAAAGTAACCGTATTCATAATGAGAGATTTCGAAAACAGATTTCGCACGTGTTTCACACACGACTATCAGTAGGAAAATAAGTATTTTCTTCGATTTCCACATAGCAATAACTGTAAATTTTTAGTAACAGTAATTTCTTAAATCAATAATAAATTCTACAGACATAAAGTAGGCATTTTTTGTTTGTAATAAATGTTACTTACTTATTTGAATCAGAAAAAAGTAACTGTTCTTGAATTTAAAGGCTCGCGTAGTTATCGATATTTCTAAACGTATTAAAGGCTAGGTGTTGTACAGTCGTACAGAAGTAATTGTTAGTGTGACCTACTGATTGACATGATTTTATAACTACAAAGTGAACCGACTCGTTTCTTTTACTATAGGTCTGTACAATCTTCTTTCTTCTTACTCTTCTAACAGGTGGCGAGATTGAATATACCTACCTATTTCTACGTAGCTTGCATGCATTCCAGTAATGACAACAAAACAATACGTAAACAAGAGCAAACGGGTTATTACACTTTCAAATACATATTTTATGGAATGATATGTCTATAGGTCTTTCATGGAAATCAAAAATAGACACCGAAGTCCTCCTTTAAGTAATCTTTCGTGTTTACAAGCCACCGAAATCACCGAATTAGTGTCGAAACATCTATAGATATAAAAATGTTATGTTGCTTTGTGTACGCTTCAAAAACTCAAAAAGTTCTGCACCGATAGAGCTGAAATATTAGCATGATATATAATCCGCATCAGGATAGGATTGTTTTTATCTATTTTTGAAGTTATACTTCTCTAGGCGCGTTATGAAAAATTGATGTGAGTGAAATTTTACGATGCGCGCTCACCGTGACACAAAATTAATATAATGAAGTTGCCCACTAACGAATTCTTTTTAAACCAGCCGGGTGCCGAGCGTGCGCGAGCGAGATGGGAATAAGACAATCTACAAGTAAAAAGAAATAGAATATGCGTGAAGTTAGCAGCTATGCCAAGAATTTTGAATGACCTTTGTAGTACCTTTTAAACACAGGTTATGAAACATACCTAATTATAAAATTGAATGAATAATATAATAAAATAATAATTATTATTATTATTAATATTAATTAATATTTGAATAATATACTAAATATTATTAAATTATTGACGTTAAATATTTATTGTTAATTACTTAATATTAAAAAAAATAAACAAAGCCGAAGAAGTATAACTTCTTACGCGCGTACATAAGTACCTACACGCACCCTTTTTTTTATTATTTTTATTGCAAAATTTAACTTATATGAAATGTATTCTTTGTTTTGCTTCTCATTTCTCAACCATTCATTCAATCACAATGTGCCACAGCATAGCGTGGCTGGGTACAGCTAGTTATTTATATAATTATGTATTGATTATGTGCATTACTGCAAAACAGAACACGCTAATGACCTACTGCTTGAGACAGTTTTAGTCTACCTACATTAGCTAAAGTCATACCGAATAGATCAGATATAAATTTTAAATATTTCAAATATGTATTGTAATAAATATATTACTTTGAATGTTAAACAAATTTAGTTTCGTACATAACTTGTAATAGTGACAGGGAAATGGAGTACAAATCTACTATTGAGTTCGGACAGCTTTGCCGACAATAGTGTAAGTGGACAAAGTGATCTGAGTGAGGCTGAAGCGGATGTTCACTTTGTTGAGGGTGCTGTCAAAATCAACTTTCGGTGGTGAAAGTGAGTTAACTAGAACTCTGACGTAAGACAGTCTCATCCTGGGTGGTACCTATAATATAACAATTACATTATTATCTAGGAATCTTAGCTTTCATACATACATACATACTATATTTATAAAACAAATCCATATAAAATTACCGGTATATATTTGTTTGTCTCGTAGATAAACGGTAGAATTATTCCGTTCGAAGTGTGTATTACTTCACCTTGGTTAGTACCTTAAAACATAGGTATGTATGAAAGTACAAGAATATTTCTTCACAGGCTTCCTCCAAGGAATGTAATTTTTCCACACAAGCCACCTGGTGACAGTATGGGCCAGCAGTCTTAGAAAGCGCTATTAGCAACAGGTATATCTAAACTAAAACCCCCGGCTGAATCACATAATGGGTGACACGGGTAGCAGCAAAGATTTCCTGTGATCGTCCTTTCAGACCCTTCGGAGCCAAAGACGCGCTAACTGGAAATGGAACTGGGCCGACCATATTGCAAATTCTTAAGACCGAAGATGGACCGCCAAAGGTTCACGTAGGCAGAGACCTCCAGAAAAGAAAAAAGAAAGAGAAATGTGGGAAAACCACAAAAGCTGACGAGATACAAAAATTAAAAAGAAATATTTCTGGGGAGATGGATGAAAGAAGCAAAAAACAGATCAAAATGGAAAGTCCAGGAGGAGACCTTTACTCAAAAGGACACTACAAGACACGAAACAATAACTAACCTAGGCTAAGTATGTTATAGCAAAACTAATACCAAATAATACCAATATGGATTAAAAGTGTATTTATTATTATTATTAGTATACACATACAATATACATAGTATTATAAAATATTATCTAGGTATATGAATATCGAAATAGTAGGTGGTACTATACGTTACCAAATTCAAACTCATATGTTCCCGCATATGCACCACAAATTATAAACATCATGCAAATCAAAATAATAGCCCTGTAGTTCATTTTTTTAATGAAATATGTTATTTCCGAATTAATATTGATGATGACAGGCAGTGATCTACTTTGACAGACCGATGAACTCCTAACTAATGGGCTGACTACCACTCAATAGCCAATTTATACTGGCATTAAGAAAATTAAAAAATGTTTAACTTTAATGTGATGTAACGGTCTGTAATTTAACATCACTGAATAACGAGCAAACAGCAAAAGAAAATAGGAATGATTAAATGCAGCAAATTCATTTATCGAGTTATCAATTTAGTAGGTAAGTATTAAATACAATATTTTAATTACGTTAAAGTTGAGAAACTTTAATACACACTTGATAAAATAGGCCATAGGTAAACATATGCCATGTTATAATAATGATAAATTTTATTCGAAATCATCAGTTTCAGTGACTACTATGTCAGACTGAAGGTGAAGGTGTTTGGTATGGTTGCAGATCTGGTATGTTTTAATGACGGCGTTGCCAGGATATCGGCCGGTAGGGTCCTGTCGAATCACATGCATGTACTCGTCTCCCATCGTGAACTGCACCTGCGGAGGAGCAGCCCAGTCGCACACCACGGACACGCCCTTGTTAACTGCCGCAGGATTAATGCAATACAGCTAAAAATAAAATACGTCGCTTAAAATATGAATATATTGACGGATAAGATGTTTGAATAAATTCCCACCTTCTGGAAAGCTTCCTTTTGCCCTGGATGGATATAAGCCTCAGGATAATTCATTTTATAACGGGATATAAAATCCGAATCTGAAAGTTAAATCGATTTGTTTAGAAAAACTGTGTAAATATCGTGTTTGTGGCTAATCTTATTACGTATTTACTCACCTTTCGTGACTTGAGTACAATGCGGTGGTGAACTTAACTTTGCATCCAGGCCAAAGATGCAAAACAACATTACGAACACCAAACTATATTTGACAATCATTTTAAAAACGCGCAACACTTTTTACCTTCGACACTGAAACTCATCTGAAGCAAAAACAGTTTTATCCGTAACCCGAGACGAGGAAAATAAACATGTTTTGTTGTACTATCAAAAGGCACTTTGACCTCTAGGCATAAATATTGTTTTACCTGTCCTATATAATATACACAATTAATGTGATAAGCATTTTGCGATTTAACCTTGTTGGTGCATAGCGCCTGAATACTATTGAGTAGCAACTACGCGTCAGATGTCTTAACTGCTACAAACAGAACAAGGCGTGTTTTAGTTTTTAGTGTTGCTTATTCCATTCCGATTACACCGCTGTTCAAGGAAACATCTTGTTTAATTTATAATCCTTTTTTCAAGAAAAGAAATTAGTTTTAACTTTCATATTATCCTGCATTAACAAACCTTTATATGGTCATTAATCAAGATAAGGTTTTTTTCAAATGTGAAGTATATTAATGTGGGTCCTTGACATCATAATAATCTGTCTGTGTCTTAAATTACCGTAAGTGCAACCGAGGGGAACAGCTATTAATAATATTAATTAATTCGGAATAATGGTTTAGTGGTTAGCTGTTAATTTGATACGGATAAATAAGTATTTGAAAATAAAAAGTTGTGAAGGTAAATGAAATATAATCAACGAAGATCGTTTGCTCCAAACTGAGGAAAACGTGAAATTAAAATAAAGGTTTCGTCTATTAAATTTAATTATTATTATAAGTATCTCTATTCACTATTGTTGAGAGTTTTCTGATTGAACTATATTATCTTTTGCTTCTTTAAGTTGGTGCCAAAGCAGAGCATGGTGCATGGCAGCTGTTTCCACCTCCATTTCACTTCCGGTCACTGGAATTTTTTATAGCTCTTTTGAAGTAAAACACGGATTTTTTTTCAGACGAAAGTAACGCTTAAACGTAGTTTCCGATATTTAAAATAATACGATAGCGCGTTTTATAAGTCCGTCAGCGCCATCTAGTGGTGCATTTGAACTGATTTAAGTCAGTTTCTTGGTAGTGTTTATTTAGGATAGCATTTACTCGTTTTATTTGATACTGATTCTTGTAATTATGTTATTATTAGTATATTTATATTTAATATGAAAATCCACACTAGTAACATGTAACCAAATTAAAATTCCACTAAAGAATCCCATCCTAGCTTGCTTTTCTTTTGTTATACATAGTAGTAGGCCAGTTTTTTCGCTTAATTTCGTATTTAACCATTTTGGAAGAAGAAAATTAATACCAAATTATTATCTTAAGAATCGGGTCTATTTTATTTAAAAATAACCAAGTTGTATAAGAGAATAGAAAAGTGAATAAAAAAAATTCAACAGTTTTAAAATAAATGATTTGAATTGCAAAGTTTTTTGAAAATCTCTAAATATACTTATGATTTATTACTTTTAAAATAAGTAAATTAATAATAAATTTTCTGACGATTGCGACATTCTATAATATTCAATAACAAGGTTATATTGACATGTGCTGACCTAACCTTCGTATTTGAATAATCTTTGTAAAGCACATGAATAATAAATATAATTATAATATGATATTAATTTATAAGCTAATATTTAATAATTTCAGTGATATATGCCGTCAACGCCAAAGAAGTTTTACTTCAATCGCGCGTAAAGGTTACACACACACACTTTTTTTTAAATATATAAGATGAATACTTATTTAAGAACTTCAACTTAAAACTGGAATATAGATATTCTAAAGTAACCCATTAAAATAAACAAAAATTGTTAATCAGTGTAAGGTACCTACTTCGTATCTTTGTAATAATTGTAATATTTTTTTTTAGTCTTGTCAAGTCATTTGCAATTTCGTCTAGTAATTTATCCTGAAAGTCACTGCTATTAACATCGATATGGTTTATTGAATTTTCAGACTGCATAACGCTGAAATATCACAAGAATAACACAAGTTAATAAAAATGTAATTAAGTTCAGACAATCTTTAAAGAAAATTAATCAAACGTGAAATTTAATTGTTAAAGAATGGCGCCAATTTCATATATTTTTTTAAAGATTATTACCATAGCAGAAGCGGACATGTCTTTTAGTCAAAATGTAATATTATATAAAGTAGTAGAGAGAAAACGGGTTTTTATTGTCTAGAACAAGCTAAAATAGCAATCGGGGAATATGTTGATCTCTTTTTTTGACATCATCATAACGATTGTCAATTTTTGAGTGCTTTTCAATTACTCAATTTCATAATAACGTTTACAATGCACGGTAAAAGGAAACTATACCTATAGAAATCCAACATAGAAGGTTTTAAATTATGGATAAAGAGCAGGTACTACGTTGGACTAAAAAAAAGAAATCAAAGGAATTTCTTTAGCCTAGTGTACACCTCATCACTAAGTCAAAAAAATAAACATTAAGATTTTAAATATAAAAATTATTTATTGCCGCTAAAATCGGCAATAACTTGACCAAAATTGACTTCAACCACAATGATTCTGCATGGCGTTTCTATCATCCAATACAAAAGCCATATTGCCACAATTTACACAAACATTTCTTAAATATTATTGTATTTTTTTTACATACAATAACAAAGTTTAGTGAATGACATGTTGCCAGTATTTTGTGACCAAATAACGTTGCCACTTTAACAAAATATGTAAATATGTATGCGAACGACGCTTTTGTTGGTACCAAAGCTAAGTAAAAGTTTGGGACCATCAAATAAAAAAACACCATATTGTGAATTGAGCATACACTTCTTATGCCCGCCTTCCACTGCGTAAGTGTGGAGCGAGAAACAGTTGACCAGCGGAACGGAGTTTGAAATGATAATAGTTTTTGCCTTCCACTAAGGAAGAGTTTTTAAAATAATTTATTTCGCCTTCCACTGACAACGAGGTCAACTAGGCGGAGCGAGAAGCGGGAAATGAACGACTACTCCGTTAATTTTTTTGTGAATTTGACTATGTCAGATTCTTCTTGTGAAGAATCATTATATTAATATGGTAAATAAAATCTTACTAATGTATTACTATAAAAAGAAGCATATCCAGCGCAAATGAAAATTTTGGATCAATAATCACATTCGAGGAAGGCCAGCAAAAGGACATTTATTACGAATGTACAACGATTTGCAAGACGTCTCCGTTCAAAACTAGTTTTCAAGAGCATACGCAGCGGACTCCGCTTTACTCGCTTGCTCCGATCTACTTTACTCTTTTGCAGTGGAAGTAATTGTATGAAATATAATAAAACTAGTTCAGCGAGTTTCGTACACGGTACGGAGTCCGAGGGAAACTCGCTCAACTCGCTAACCTCGCATGTGACTCTTTCAACTCGCTCACTCCGCTCCGCATGAAAATCATCGTTACGAGTATAGCGGAGTCCGTAATGGGTCCGTTCCGCTCGCAGTGGAAGGCGGGCTTTAGCGTTAGCTCTTGTACTTAGGTATTTGTCTTTTAGCTAGTACCGGGCTTGAGACAAAGCGAGTTTGTGGCATGCGTGAACCATTTACGATTTCTTAGGTGCTTGAGACAATATTACTTTTTGACACGCGTGATTCACTAACGCTAAACAAATGGGAATATAATAAGCTTACGCTTTGTCACGTCACCATTAAATGGTGAAAGACAAATTTTGGCTTCAGCCCATGATCGCGTGAGCACTTTTGTGCTACTTACTGTCATAAAATGAAATTAGACCCTAATATTTCTTCGACACAAAGTATGGGTCATCGTAGTCTGTGGGTTACTGCAAGGGCTGTCATGCGTGACTCGTCATCTGTGGTCTTTTGTGTGGTCAGGAGTTGTTGAGGGGCAAATTTGTTTCAAACCAACAAAAATTAACTATTATTTGCTAACAATACCTTACTAATGTTGTCATAAACTATTCCTCCATTTTATTGTAAATAATCTTAATCAATTTCATAAAAATGATGAGCGATGACGATCGCGACATCGATATCGAAAGTGATGTATGTGTTGTTTTCCTTCAAAGTGCAATATTTTATTCATTTCGTGAGTTTTTAAAACAATTTGATAATTTTTCAGGCTGAAAATGATTCTGATTCTCGTCCAAATCCACGCAATGGATTAAGTGGCTACTATTCTCAGGTAGGACTCTCATGTTTTGTTTTATTATATTGATAATGTTGACATGTCACATGTGGATATTCTGATGCTTTAAAACCATGACCTTAACATAAAATGTTTTAACTGTTGATCAGACGTTTAATCTCACATTTTTTGGGAATGCTTTCCATTCTATTCATTAATTCACTACTATTCTATTATTTAAATCAATAATATAACTCTTGACAGAAGAAGTGCTATTTAACTTATGTGTTGAAGTTTAATTTGATTAAATGAACTTATAAAAGAGTTAGTAACCTTACTACCCAAGTAATTATCATTTATTACCAACTTCAGGCGGAAAAAAGAGCCCATCATAATGCTTTGGAGCGTAAAAGAAGAGATCATATAAAAGACAGTTTTACATCATTAAGAGATTCCGTACCTGCATTGCAAGGAGAGAAAGTAGTAAGTACTCAAATTCATAATAACTTATTTGTGTTCAATATGATTATGACATTAATAGATAAAATAACGATATTACAGGCAAGTCGAGCACAAATATTAAAGAAGGCAGCAGAATATATCCAGTTCATGAGAAGAAAAAACAATTCACATCAACAAGATATTGATGACCTCAAAAGGCAAAATAATATATTAGAAACACAGAGTAAGTAAAGTCTGAGTTATGTTTAACAGGCTGAGTAGTTGTGAGTTATACATGGAATTTGCAAGTTTCCTTTATTTCTTGTTTCTGCATTTTATATGGTGGCAATAAAATAACAGATATTTTGTTGCACAGTTTTAGTGACCTTTTAGGCTTTAAACATAATTTATTCTTCGTTTTTATATATAATTTTCAAGTTGCAGGTTGTCATTGTCCTAAATCGTTTTAATTAAATTTCAGTCAGAGCATTGGAAAAGGCTCGAGCGACCGGAAACTACATGGACGCACACGAGCTCGGTCTCGGCATCAAGTCCGAGGACAGCTCCCACGACACCGACAGCTCGGACGGAGAGGGCACCACGCGGCGCGTCAAGAAGCTGAAGATCAACGGGGTCAACGTCTGAACTGACCCGAGCGATATTCCGGCGTCGGCGACCACCCCCGACTTCACGAAAAGAAAAAAATCCGCCGTCCATTGTAAAAAGTCATCACGAGTGCGGCTCTCGGAGCAGACGTGCCGATTAAGATAAGTTTTGTTAGGAAACGAATATTCTGTGAAATGTGGAGCTATTTTTGCAAACCGGAATTGTTGTCCCATCGGCGTTTTAATTGAATTTACTGTTAGATTTTGTTTTTGCGACCGTTATATTTTATATTTTTTTGTTAAAATCATGTTTAAGGAAACGGAACGTTATCTTTCATTGTGACGCTGATGCGGCCCTAGAACGGAGAGTTCTTAAGTTCTAGTAATTTTAAAATTATGTGTAAATACTGTTCAGTCTAAGGCATCACTGAGAATAAATACTTTTACCGCTTTCATCGTATCGAACGCAGCATATAGATATATATATATATATCGTTCGAGAGATGTCGAAGTGGAAACTGTCCTTATTCGTGATTAAAGTAAGACAACATTTTGTGCGTTTCATTCCCGAAAAGGTCCCCTTTTTAAATACGTCCACGAATATACAGACAAATGTGACCTCCTGATAGCATTAGTCTTTAGCGTGTTCTACTGCCAGCTATGAGGTCACGGGTTTGAATCCCGACCGAGGCTTTAATTATAAAATCGCTTGAACGAGAAAAGGTTGAATCCTTTATCACCTCATCATTTACACGGTTAACGCTATCGCGCCCTCTATGGAACTTGACACATTTTCTTTTTTATATAGGAGACAATTTTGCGCTTTATAGAGTTTCGAGCTGTGGCCCTGACTGGAGTACTTCCTCGCCTCGATGAGCACATTAAGCTTCTTAGATAGGCTAATTTAGCCTTCCCTTCCAATTGACCGAGAAACTGAACGTCATTCGAAATGTCTAAGGTTTTAAGAAGATTGTCTTCGAAGAGATTAGTACCGACAAAGGTGTGTTTTTTAGCGGAAACTTGTGTCTTATTGGGGTGTACCCCAGTCCGTGACTCCACGTAGCAGAGCGACTTCAGACACAAGTTTGTTCCGGTACTCATCGACCACTGGCCGAGAAAGACTTGCCCGGCCAGTGTAAAGAGTATCCCCAGTGCTGTCGTCCGCATAGCAATGTGTGTTAGCACTGCAACATATTATTTATATGCGTAAGAAACAGGGTCGGGGATACTCTAATCAGCGAGAAAGCTGAAAATCCAGGTCTACGTGTACTCGGTAGTTTCAAGTGGGTATGGTATTTTTTTTTATTTTTTTTATAGACAATTCACCAATTTACCTAGTCCCATGTTAAGCTGGTGAAGCTTGTGTTATGGGTACTAGGCAACGGCTATACATACATATTATAGATAGATAGACATATAAATACATATTTAAACATCCAAGACCTAAGCACAACACCAAATGCTCATCACATCGATGTTCGTCTCAACCGGGGATCGAACCCGGGACCCATGGATTCGCAGTCAGGGGTACTAACCACTAGACCAATGAGTCGTCAAATATGGTTGGTAGATTCAGTTTCCGCACTTTGACTCATAATCGGTCCGTTGTGCGTTAAGTCCAGAAGCAGTTTCGGACTGAGGGTGATCGAACTGGCTCGGTCTTTTAATAAAATAAATATTAAACTAATGTTAAAGAACTTTATTTCTAAAGAGAACGAACGAAAATGTTTTTTTTACACACCTTCACATAAGTCAAATTTAAAATTGATTAAACACTGTAATATTTCGAATTTTAGACCATAATTTATGAAATAATTGCACACCCTCGTACTTAATAGACTTCTTCAACTAATTTGGACGCGGCTTCGGCAAGATGAGAAAACTCGTGCAGTGGTGTGTTTGATTTGTTTATATGATAGGCTACTATACAGAGAGATATTTAAAAAAAATTAAGATACAGGTGCTATAAACATATAGTTGTTTAATCGTCATTATTTTGGTTTCTTGGTCGATTTTATTAGTGTGTCAATTTTTTTTTATTAGAGTTCGTATGTTAGTTATTTGTTATTGCATGCTGTACCCCATATTTCAAACTAGCTGTACGTGTCCTGCAAATAGTCGCAGGACGACCTGAAAACTGGGTTCTTCAATGTTGTTAAATAACGCCGCACTGTGCGCTCGGCCAGAGTGCCGTATTTATACAGTGGGGAAAGACACGGTCGCGTTACGCTTCAGATTTATTTATCGCAAAATTAGCCCGACATTTACATCTTTCATCGTTTTGCAATCGGATTTGAGTTTTCTCAAATGGCCTCGTATAAGGTACATACCTAGATGAATACGACGCGAGGTGAATAGCGGGCATTATTAAGTTAATTATAGCTATTGTTTTAAACGAAGTATATTGTAAATAGCTATTATATACAATTTGTTAGAAAGACTGTGGTACCTATCTGTACATTGGTAGCGAAGCGGATCTATATTTACTGAATGCACTTCGTTTACTTGTGTATTCGTTCACCGAATAAAATTTTTAGTTCGATGAAGTTATTTTTACGGTGTATATGTCACTGTAAAATTGTAAACACCGTAAGATTGTAAACTATCTCGCGAGATTGTAAACTGTCGAAAGATTGTCAACTCAACGTACTGCTTACAATTTAACGTATTATTATTCGGTAGATTGTAATCTATCGAAGTGAAACCGTCAAATTGTGAAACGGATTGCACCTCGTGCGCTGATTGGTTGAACGGAATGTGCCCCGCTCCACCATATAAACTCATAGCTTTAGAATTAGTTATATGAAATTGTTGGAAAGTAAAATTAATCTGTGATTGACCAAAGAAGTTTGAATGATAACTAATTTAGTGTTTGAAATGAAATGAAAGAAAATTTCATTACTTTTTCAATTTTAATTTATGTTTGAGGAGAAAATATTGTTACGTTTCTGATTTTTTATTTTGATATAATTTTTTTTACCATGTGATGTCAGAATTATTGATTACCTACTAAGTAATGAATAAATACTTGATGTCACAATTCTTGAAGTGCATTCAGTTTATTTGACTGATACCCGTGTTTCATTCCTAACTCTATGGACATAGAACGGTCTACTATAAAGCAGACCAATCAGGGACAGCCTTCGGACAGTTAACAATTTGACAATTTCAAGATTGTAATTTGACGGTTTCACTTCGATAGATTACAATCTACCGAATAATATTACGTTAAATTGTAAGCAGTACGTTGAGTTGACAATCTTTCGACAGTTTACAATTTCGCGAGATAGATTACAATCTAACGGTGTTTACATTTTTACGGTAACATATATACATGAATGTGTTTCCAATGAAATCTGTGGAATTTTCAACAGATGTTAGTAACATTTTCTGACGAACTTACTTTTCATGACAATGGAACTCTACGAATAACATGATAATAGATGACCCAGCACCTAATAAATATTTTGGAATATTTTCTAAATTGCTTTTGAACTGTGCGAATGTTAAATATTTTGTGTTGTAATGTTTATTTTTCACAAATGGACAAATATATTTTTATTATTTACCTGTTTTTCTCATTAGACCCAGAGTCCGCGCCACCACTCATTACCGACGGGCGACGGGAACCCTGGAACCAATATTGTCGCTACAGTGAAATATTATTTAATTCGTTTTAATGTTTTAACATTTGGAGCAAATCTTGGAAGACTAGTTCGCGAATTTCATATTAATTTATGTTACGTTGGGGTAAAATAGCCTTGCACCTAGCACTAGCAACATGTTACTACGCCGCGCTACTCGCTAGCGCCGCGTCTATCGGCATTCAGTGGTGGCGCGGCTTCTATATGCTGGCACTTTGGTTATTTGTAAATGAAACAAAATTATATTTCAAACCGTTTATTGCACAATCATTGACATTAAAAGTACACAAATACAAAACGGATATTGAAGGACATTTAAAAGAAAAAAAAAATGTTCCAAGTGCAAACTTTTACGAAGTAACTAATGAAGTTGGTCGACATTAGGAGTTTTGCTCAGAATTATTGCATATCAGGGGTTATGATGTTCATAAAAAACAAATGCACAAGCCTCCAGCCCTCGTCAATTCTTTGGTTTAGATTAAATCGACAACTTGAATTCCAAAGTTATCTGAAAGCAAAAATTATTTCTAATAAAATTTATGATATAATAAAAAAACATATATTAAAGTCTCATTGGTAATAAATAATCGAGATTTTTCGAAACGAGAAAGACAATATAAAATAATTAAATAAAAAGATAATGTTGTCAATTTAAAATAAATAAATAAATTCGAATGAGTTTCATAAACAAATAAAAAGATATATAAAAAATATTTACCTAAAGCATGTAATCAGCTATACAGTTATCAATACCCCAATCCATCTGATGACAGAAATAAAAAAAAATATTACAATAATAATATTTTTAAAGGTAATTGTGACGTTATAATTACACAATTTAAACAAATGACTTTATAATATACAGCGTCATAAATATATATTTACGATAAATAATAAATAGGTTATGAAATAAGCATTAAAGTTAGCAATTTAATATTAACTGTTAATGAAATGATATAGTATAGGTACTCACTGGGCAGTCCGTAATGGCATCAAATGAAAGAGAATTCATTTGATCCTCTGCTGCAGCATCAGTCATCGGCACCTCCTCGTCATCGTCGCCTGCGGAAGATCGAAAATAATTAAGTAAGAATCGTTTATTTACATATATATATATATAGTAATACAACGAGTACCATACAAGGTAATAAACTTACTGGAGTGATCTCCAATAATAGCAAAGTCGATTTGTGCAGACCTATTGGCCGGACGTCGAACAGTTTTCGCGTTCTTCTTGTCCTTATTGGTTTTGTTTCTTTTCTTGATGCCGGTTTTTATTTGCCTTGTTGGTTGGGCTTCGGCGCTATTTCCAGACTCGAGCCGGTATTCTACGTCATCGACTGAAAAATGAAAAATGGTTGTTAATATCTCGAGGCGCTTACGATCTTAGTTGGAAAAAGGTCGATGGTTGTACTGACTTTGTGCCATTAAGTTTGCGTTGCGTCGTTTCATAACTGTCATATCGTCGGACGGGTCTACATTTTCTTGCATCTTCCGTAGTTTCTGAATGGCTGTGGCTATGATATCTGCGTTCGATGCCTGAAATTTTTTTTGTAGATTCAAAAGATGCATATAGTCGCAACATTTACTATACATAAACACGCTAAAGTAACTTTTAGTACTAACATTGGGTAGACATCCTAAAGCGGCTGCTAAGCTTGACATAGCTTCGGCCGTTTCGACGCGTCGTTCTCTTTCATACTGTGCGTTGCGCGCGCGCCTCTCTTCCTGAGAAATTCAATGTAATTTTAATATTTGCATCTTATTTATAGATAAAATATAATATAGATAAAATAACTCGACAACTGTAACTTTTCAGATAAGTTCACGTATAAGTATCGCCGTAAAGGTACTTACGGCTGAAAGTGGAACTCTGCCTCTTCCCACTGGTCTCCCGCGTCTTCTATCAAAGCCACGTTGCTCCTCCTACAAAAATAAATTGTTTCAATTAATTGTATCTTGTTGTTAATTGCCCAAACAAAGAAATAAATTAACTATATAATATATATATACAACAATATTTGTGACGAACACGGAACGAAACCGGAAAGCGCGTAAACAATAAATGCTCAAACCGAAAACATATTTTCGATAAATAAATTAAACATCACCTAAACTTAACAGTTAAAATGTCTTATAAAAATAAATAAAAGCACTCACGCTATGTTCCATATTATAGTAAAACTTGTACACTAAATGCACAATGTTCACTTCACGAGATCAAATATTAAATGAGCAAAATTAACCAAAATTACAATAATGCTAAATACCTGCTCTTGGGCATTTTATTTCCGGAATTGTTTACAACCCCATTCACGAAGGCTTATCATCGGCTAAACTACAGATGAACTTTATGACCACCATTTCGCTACATTTTAAACAATAGCCTTTTAACAATGTTAAGCTGCTTATTATATTGATTTTTACCATTTCTTTTCTTATTTCCTTCTCTTTACTAGGAAATTTAACTTGGCAGCCTGCTAGAAATATTTTATAATAGATTTAGAATTATTGGTCATGGCATTACTTAATTTAGTAATTACTTTTATTCCGTTGTTTTAATTTCATATTCAATTATAGTTGGACGATGTTTGCATTGTGTTTCAGATATTATCTACAGGCACAGGAACATACCTAGGTAGATACTTATTAACTCTGCACATCGGTCCTTTCGCCTTCTGCACTAATACTTCTATAATAATAATCTTTAGAAAAGCAAACAAATTGTTTGTCTACCAAAGTACAGGAACCCGACGTCTTACAGTTATTTTATCGTTGTCGTTTCATTGGGAGTTAAGCTTGCGATGTGTGTAATTAAGTTGGATCATAACTCATTACATCTGTGTGGAGTAAGGTGTAGTTGTCGCAGCACTTTACAAACTTATACAACAAATTGAAAGAGTGTCGGTGTGTTTACCGTATAATATATTAAGTAACAGGAATCTAATCATATAGGTACAATTTGACTTGGTTATTTATGTATAAATGAAACTTAATTTTCTATTCAGTATCGTGATAAAACATAATTTAAAAAAAAACAGGATGTTTCCAGGAAGTCTCTCGGCTACAATCGCGAAATATAAAAAGCAAAATGCATCGCCAGCGGCTGGCATGGATTCAAACACGGGGCTCATAAATGATAAAAGCTTAGAGTTCGGCCACCTCATATGGATAAACTCATTTATCAATGTACATTTGGCCGTACGTAGGCGATTCGCTACGAATTGTAGCCGATTGCTCTTTAACGAAATACGTAAATAATCATCGATCCATGATTCGTTTGACGAAATATATATATATATATAACTAAAATAATATAATTAGAATATTAAAAAAAGCCTGTCTCTTTCCACGCAGACGAATTCGTATTAGTAAAAATAGATACCGGGTACCGCTTTATTACAATAAGTATTAATTTAAACTACACAACATTAAAATTTTGGTTAAGTTAAAAATAATATCTTACAATTATTACAGCTTTAAATCGAAAATTTCGCAAAACAAATGTTTATTGCTATGCAGACCTTAATCCCTAAAACAATGGTTCTCAGACAAATCCTTTCCTAGTAAGTGATAATGAATAACGTACCTGGCCTGGCTCATAAACCCCGTTTTGACGTCTCGCGATGCCCCAGCTGATCGGGGAACGGCGTTACCTACGAGCGGGGGGTAATTATCGTGTATTTTGCATATTTGAAGCGCGAATTAATTATAGAAATACGGAAAGGTGGCATTGCGTGATAATGAAACTCCTTTGCGGGGAAGGTCTATTGATTTTCTTGGAAATCCCGACGATTTTTGAAGTGAAAACTTCTTTAGCGGCGTCGTACACTTTTTTTGGAACGGGTAAAAAATGTTAAACTCGCGTCAGGACAAATTCGTAAGACAGATGTTTTTTTAAAGGATTATAAACCTTAAATAAAAATAAAATAAAATTCGTGCTATATAGTTACGGTGTTAATTCATTTGTCTCTTTCCTCAGATACATTGATGCATGTGGAATTGGACCTTAAGTCAATACATCAAGGTTTAATTTTAGGAAACGTCTAAAGCTTTATTATTAACAATTTGACGCGAATAAAAAATGGCAACTTAAAAAATAGTGAATTAGGAAATAATTGAATTATGTAATACTAATTTTAATTATTTTGTGTAGGTTTCGTACGACGGATGGAGAGTAGACAGCTGGCGCGCGGCGTATTTAATGTAATATAAATTGTCATGTTTGTGTACGATAGCGCAATAAATAAATATTGTATTCTACCACAAAAATGATAGTACTTTTATACTAATAATTAAAGCAATTCGTGCAAAATTATTCCCTAACCCTTCTAAAATATCAAAAATATTCAAGTTTTCAGTTCTGTCGGCACTCCCGGAGTGCAACCCGTCGTTTTTTTTCTAACTAAACTTAGAAGCCAAAACCGCCCGACAATAAGTCTTATTAGTACCTACGACCTAGAAATTTATAAAAAGTTTACAGTGATAGAATAATCTTGCTTTTCCTTCAAAGATACTAGGTATTACTCCGTATAGTTTCTACACCTAAACCGCTCAAAATGTATCGTTTAATACTTATGTATAAAATATAATTTTACATGTAAAGTATACTTTAGTGCGTTTTAGGGAATTCATCGCGTGTCTCCGAACAGTAGCAATATGGTCGATGGTGCACATCAAATAATTATTTTTCCACGTCTCTATGGAATCTCTAAATTACCCATTTTATGGAAAAGTGTCCTGCTATATTTTCTCGGTACGAGAAATTAATATGTAGTTATTTTAAAATTAATTAACATTTCAGAGGAAAATTCATTAGGTCGGATCGTATTTAATATACCAATTTACTGGAAGCGGGTGCTTAGCAGGTACTGAACTTGGATTAAGCTTTGTCGAATTTGTACGTGTAATTTATACGAACACCACATAGCACCACTTTATCGGGTTCGGAGTTGCCCATGAGGGCATTCGTAGCAATCAAGCTGGAATAACAATTAAATCAGGATAAATAAAAATCTGTGAAACTCCTTTTTAATTAAAAATGCTTTAACTCAATTAATGACGTCTAATTCTGCGTTTTGTATGCTTTGTTAAGAAGTGTGTCATGGTATTAATAAATAAACTAAACATCTATCGATATTCCCCACATTAGGGAGCTCCTGTGTTGTGGGTAACTAGATTACAATTATGGTGCATTGTGCATGTTTGAAACAATATTTTTTAAGAAAAAGTAGACTTACTGTTACAACTCTTCAAACACAAGTCGAATAAGACATTAAGTATGCGTGAATGAATGGGTATGTGTGTGTGTTCGTATAGCTCAGAGTTGTTATAAGTAATTATTGTGCGCTGGGTCTGTGTTACTTTTTGGCACCTCAGAGTCATGCCAAAATACGATATAAAATCGGCTAGCGCAATTATGTTGTGTTTTGTGAGTTTATATCTGGATAGTTTGAGTATTTAAGAAGCCATAGATTGGGAGTTTCTTTTTGTTAAGGTAAAGAAGCATTGGCCGAAGCACTTCGTTTTGGCGTCGGGAATACTGCTTTGCTTTTCCCAAGTAAGGTGTCGATCTATAATTACTCATGTGCATTCGACATCGGGACATTTCCACATATGTTGGTTATGGCATGTGTGGAGTTAAAAGACTGGTAGGGTAATTGGGCTGGAGCGAACTCTTATGCTAAATTACATGTACATATTTAGTTTTGCTAAGATTTAGACTGATCATATTGTTTTGAATCCAGTTGGAAAGACATTTGTTAGCATATTATTAACGCAGGATAGTATAAAGTTAAAAGTAATTTCTTTTCTTGAAAAAAGGATTATAAATCAAACAAGATGTTTCCTTGATCAGAGGTGTAATCGGAATGGAATAAGCAATACTAAAAGCTAAAACACGCCTTGTTCTGTTTGTAGCAGTTAAGACATCTGTAGTAGTTGCTACTCAATAGTATTCAGGCGCTATGCATCAACATGCCCCCAGGCGTTGAAGGCTTGGCTTCAACCAATCCACTTGGCAATGGACAAATTTTCGAAAATGATCGTCTCACATTTCCAGTAGACGTTCTAATCTCTGCGACACGAACAACATCATCTGCACCAGGAAAGAGCGCCACGATGCGACCCAGCTTCCATTTCATTGGTGGCAAATTTTCCTCCTTTAGCAAAACAAGTGAGTCAATTTGCAAAGGGTTTACTTGGGTTTGCCATTTTGTCCGTTTTTGGAGTTCTGAGATATACTCCTTGCTCCATCGTGTCCAGAAATGTTGACGAAGCTGTTCAATTCTTTGAAATCTTGAAATATGAGTATAATTGTGGTCTACATAACTTTCAGTTGGAATAGCTGTGAGTGGACGTCCGATCAAAAAATGTCCAGGGGTCAGTGGGGTCAGATCTTCAGGGTGCGTTGATAAAGGAGTGAGTGGTCGAGAGTTTAAAATCGCTTCTATTTGCGTTAAAACTGTATACAATTCTTCAAAAGTTAATTTAGAGTTCCCTAATACTCTTAATAAATGGTATTTCGTAGATTTAACTGCTGCCTCCCAAATCCCACCAAAATGTGGTGAATAAGCAGGTATGAAATGAAAATTTACGCCATCATTGATGAGATCAGTGGCAAGAGAGTCAGAGTTACGCATTAAGAAATTAGCTAAATCTTTACAAGCCCCAACAAATGTAGTACCATTATCTGAATATAAGTGCAATGGTTTACCCCGACGAGCAATGAATCGACGAAAAGTAGAAATAAAACTGTTACTTGTCAAATCACCCACTAATTCCAGATGTAATGCTTTAGTCGTAAAACATACAAATATAACTATATAAACTTTGATAATACGAGAGCCTCGACCTTGACGAGTAACAGAAGCAATAGGACCTGCATAGTCCACGCCAACAGACTCAAAAGGATAGTTACCGGGAGTTACTCGACGCTGGGGTAAATTACCCATAATAGGAGCTTCAATCTTTCCTTTCATGCGTGTACACCTGATACATCGTCTATAAGTAGTCTTTGCTAAATTTCTACCACCGATAGGCCAATACACTTCTCTTATTGAGGATAACAATAACTGTGGCCCAGCATGCATAAGTTTCAAATGTTCATGTTGAAATATTAATTGTGTTAATCGATGTGTGGACATTAATAGTAAAGGATGTTTTTTATCATA